AGGTCTGGCTCAGCATCACCAGCGAGGACACACCTGTTGCAAACCCTTTGTAGTACTCACTGCACAAACATGCTGCTGGGCTAATGTAAAATAAGCTGTAACATTTCTGTGAAAGTTGCAACTTGCTAACATCCAGATTTTTCTTTTTTCCGAAACATCATATTTAATAAGACAGCTGCATAAAGCCACAGAACTGGCTCTGCAGGACGATGTGTGGTTAGCACCTCTCTGAATGCAGGGCTGATATGGAATCCACATGCTAATAGGGAGAGGCTAAAGGTGTGCCAGCAGCTCTGTCAGGCTGTTTTTAGGCCCAGTCGTATTGTTTTCTATTAGTAAGGACAAGACTGAGCGTGTACATATATAACAGAGAGTCAAAACTTCAAAAGAAAAAAAGATTAAAAGATTAAATCTATTGGGTCATATTATATTTGTGTTCTTCATAAGAGCGAACGACATCCTGACTTTTAACACTTTACAGATGCATGCGTATCACGCACATCACCATGGTCAGTCATGAAGTCCTTCAGTGTTATAAAACTGATTTATTCTACAGCAGCTCTCTGTGTTGGTGAGTGCAGAGCCGCTCGGGTGTTTGATTGTTTTAGCTGCTTGTTTTTCCTAAAATGAGCTGCAGGAAGTCTTTCCTGTTTTGAACACACTATGAATAGAAGAGAATTGTGTTTGTAAGTGTGTGTGTGTGTGTGTGTGTGTGTGAATTAGAGCAACACAAGGCAATCAATATGGGGTAAGGTAAGGTTCTTATACTACATTGACTGTGATGGGAGATGATTCCAAACACATCTCGTATGTATATATAAAGCCACATAGGATGCAGGATATATGATGCACATGATAGGACACAGTTACAGTGATGCTACAGAGTCAGCCCTTCATTGTGGTGCTGAATTACTGTATTCTTCCTTTTCGTCTCTCTCACAACTCTCCTCTTCATCCTCCTCCTCACTGCTCCAGGAAACAGGACACAGTAAACTTCCAGCTTCTGTTTCTTTTGCTTCCAAGTGGAAGTATGTGGGAAGCACTGTTTGTGTGTGTTTGTGTGTGTGTGCGTGTGTGTGTGTGCATTTAAGTTCTGGAAAACTGGACCTCCTGACCCCTGCATGCTCCCTTCTTTCTCACGTTGAAGAAGTAAACTGTTTATATCATCAACCCCAAAACAGTGACACAAGCACATCCACACACGGCCTCACACACACACACACACACACACACACACACACACACACACACACGTGACTCAGATACACCTGGATATCATATTCTTTATAAAGCACAGTTTCATTTTTCGAAAGAACTTCACTGTGTCCATGCTCCGGATCAGTGGATTCAGATGGCAGGCGGCTGAGTGATCATGAATCAATACAAAGGGAGACAAGCTGATGATGATAAAGATTAGAACACGCAGCAGTGTGCCAACTCATTTCAACACTTTTTTCAAAGAATCTTTATCTGTAAGTCACTATCTCTGGCCCCAAGCAGACCGAACACAAAGAAAATAGATTTTTAGCTTTGGACACTGTTGGCAGCTGTCCGCTGACATTTAAACCACGTATGAGACCAAATAGATTTAATTCAGACTTGCTCGTCCTACTCCATCTTTCCTGTCCCTTTTCACTGTGTTTTCTGTGATAAAGCTCAGATGCCTTCGTCTACCATCTCATTAGCTTGCTTGTTAGTCTCTAAACTGTTTGTGTACTTTGGGCTTTAATGATATCAATCTCATCCACTCAGAAGCAGACTTAATGAGGGCAGCATTCGCTGTGGTTGACTGGTTGAAGTACAGTACATGCCAGGAATTCACAGTTTCACTCAGGAAGCACGAAACATAACACAAGAGGAGACATTTTCACAAATGTGGGTATTTTTTGCATATTTTATTCCAAACATCTTCAACAGTACACAACAAGCACAGCAGCACTACAAAACAATCTAATAACAGTATTTACAGGAGAGGCCCCACAGTGAGGGAGAAGACAAGTCGTGGGCCAGCAGACTGCTCCTTCCTTTCTCAGACACTTTCTGAAATCTTCCTTTTAAAAACACACACACACACACATATACACACAGTAAACACACATATATATACACATATATATACACGATATAAGCAAACACTAGCTGGAATGTAAACTGGAGGACTCTGACTCTGTGGTCGTGGAGGCCCCTGGGCGTCTTCGCGGTAAAATCTTCAAACTGGAGGCTCGGCTCAGAGTGAGGGCTCTGCGGGCCGAACTTTTGAACCCGGCTCCCAGGAAGGCGTACAGCAGCGGGTTCAGGCAGCAGTGTGCAAATGCCATGGGCTCAGCCACCGCCAGCCACACGCCCAGGACGGCCTCCAGCCTGCAGCCGCGGGGCAGGACCTCCAGGCGCAGCAGGGTGTCCAAAGAGATGCCCACTCCGTAGGGCAGCCAGCACACGAAGAAGCAGAGAACCAACACGATGGTAGTCCTGACCGCTCGCTTCTTCTGCCTCTGGCCCCCGAGCGGGCCTCGCGTCAGCCTGGTGACAATGACGCAGTAGCACACCAGGAGGACCAGGCCTGGGATTACCAGACCCACCAGGACCAGCTGGAGGTTGAAGACTGCGACCCAGAGAGGACCGTTGTCGGCTGGGTAGAATCGCTGGCACAGAGTGGCCCCTTCGCCTCCCTCCTGAGTCCGGGCAAATATCAAGTCAGGCACTGCCAGGAGGCCAGCAGGCAACCAGGCACCTGCAGGGAGAGAGGAAGACAAAAGAAAGTAAGGGACTGTGGGAGTAAGAAAGAAGAAGAGAAGAGTTTCAAAAGACAAAAAGAAAGCATCAACTGAGCAAACCAGTCGTTCTACACTCACCCACATAAACCAGTCTGTGTGCCAGCAGCTGTCTCAGCCCACCGGTGTTGGTGTCCGTGGCTCGGACCACTGCCAGGTAGCGGTCCAGGCTGATGAACGCTAGGATGAGCACGCTGCCGTACAAGTTGACCGTGTAGATAACGTGCACGCCGATGCAGGCGGCCGCTCCGAAGCGCCAGTCGGACAGGGCTGAGTCCACTGCCCAGAAGGGCAGCGCCAGGACAAAGAGGAGGTCAGCAGCCGAGAGGTGGAGGCGATACCGGTCCGTGAGGCTGCACTTTGACCTGTAGATGAAGGCAGGGGAGGAAACCACTAAGCCCATTTCTCATCGGTTTCTTGTCAAGAGGTTCACCGTAACAACCACCAACCCTCTCACCTGCGTTGGCAGCCCAGCACTATGACGACTAGGCCGTTTCCGGTGATGCCGAGGGTGAAGATGAGGGCGTAGACCACAGGCAGGAAGACCTGCTGAAGGTTAGCAGTCATCCCATTCTCCACGTCACAGGGCTCCTCCAGATCCCCGGCCAGGTCACCGGAACCAGAACCCGAGCCTGTGTCATTGAAGTCGTAGTCGAAGAAGATATGCTGGAGAAATGAGGATGATGATTAAGGGCAGGAAGAAGAGGAAAAAGCAACAGGAGATCCCAAACACAGACTTGTGATTGAACATAAAAGCTCCCACGTTTGACTAAACATCGTTGACAACCTTACCTCATAGTAAGACATGATGGAGGCAGCCCCTCTCCTTTCTGAACAGAGTGAAGTTTCTGTCTACTGGGGATTTATAGCTGCGTTCATGCCCCTCCCCTAAACACTAACACATGTGTTCCTGCTGAAACGTTTTTCCTGTTTTCGAGGTGTCAGGTGCCGATAGTGGTTCTATCACAGGATACCGTGTTGTGTGTGTGTGTGCACTGCTTGAATTGTTTTGGCCCCAGAGACCTCTGATTCGTGATGATCAGGACCTATTGGCAGTAGGGGAATCAGACAATGTGTGTGTGTGTGTGTCTCTCTCAAACCTTCATGCTCTGTTTAAATCGGGACAAGCAGCAGGGAGTTTCAGCTCTCACCAGAGTGTGGGAATACTTTGCGTCACTGTCTTATGTGGTGCATCAACATGTATGAGAGGGAGACACACAGAGAAGGATTGTGGCATTCTGCAAGTGAATGTGAGCTGATTATCAGCTGTGTTCTGGTAACACTTGTAAGACATCCTCTAATCTTTCACTGTCAATGAACCTTGAGTGTGTGTTTGTGCTACTAGCGTGACACCTTTCTGAGAGCAAAACAACAATGTTTCAACACTGTGTCTCCTACTATGGAGACTGGAGTGTTAACCTGGACTTTTAGTGTTGACTATAATCATTTATAAATTTTAAAAAAGCTATTTTAAAAGAATGATTTAAGATGCCATATAAAACTCAAATGAAAAAGGAATTCAAGTTGACAATATTTCTATTTCCTCATTCTGTCTTTAGATGAATGAAATATAACACAATTTTAATGAAATAGCAAAAACTATTTTTTTATATTTAATATAAGGCATCTGTATCTCCCGATACAGTAATCCCATAAATAACCCCCCCCTAAAAAAAGACTTAACGCCTCCAGACCCAGCTCTCAGTCCCTTATCTCTTGCTCATTTTCCCCACCCTTCCTCCACATTCACTGGTATCAGCACAAACATCTTGAAAATAACATTCCTGTGTAAAAAGACCTACATCTTCCTGGTTTGATCCCGATAGCTTGGTGAACAGGGGCCTGCACTGATTGTGTTAATTTGGGATTATGCTGCTGAACACTGATCTTGTTTTAAAGCAGACTTTGAGCTCTCAGAAAACACACAGGTGTACATCGTTATTACTTAAAGGCTGCGTTCCATCTAGATGTACCAGGTGCAGCACCCTAGTTATCTAACATGCACTGGGAAACTAAATGGTCATTAAAGTTATTAATTACACCTGTGCTTTTCTCTTCCTACAAGTCCTCTGTAAACAAAAAAGGCACACTAAAAAGCACAGGGCTAATATAGTGTAACCGGTGGCGCCACCATGTGGGCTTCTACCGAAAGTCTCCAACACTGCCCAACCAACCAATCCCTTCCCCATGTTTACAGAACATGGCTACTATCCACAAATTGCCACCATGAGATATTTATTCATTTAATATTCACGGTAAACAGAGCAGGGTTACACTGTGTCCCAAATTCATAGTACCTAATAAATATATACAATATGATCGCTATACTTTATGCAGTTGTAAGAAAATGTTTAAATCAACGTTCCTTACTAAGAGGAAACTATGCAACTGCGCACTGCCGGAAATCAAACTGCATTGTGGGACAACAGCACACACAAAAACATGGTATCCTTAACGTCGTCAGTGCTCTAGTATAAACCCTGCATTGCATTCGTATGCCGTGAGGACACCGCGCTATGCAGTTCTATTAGTGATGGAAATATAAAATCTGTGTATCCAGCGATACGGTAAAAAAACAGCATTAAAAAAACTAATTTATTCACAATCGTCCTGTTGAATTCAACTTCAAATAAATACTATTTCGAAATTCAAGAAAAACAAATAAATAACATGCAAGTAAGTGAAACTGCAGCAGTACTTTGCCAATAAACCCGTGAGTATGCCTCCAGGTAATGCTTATGATGATAGCTGAACAAAAAGCATGAGTAAACACTACATCAGAGCTCGAATACTTGACTGAATAATGTAAGTAGCTTAACAACAAGAGGCGGAGTCCCCTCGCTAGCGTGTTTCTCTGACGATCATGCTGCTGTTGCCACGCAGCTGGGCAAGCAAGTCTCTGAATCCGCCCGTCGTCGTCGTCGTCTTCTTCTTTGGTGCTTTCTGCTCGGGCGGGACCTCCCTTGGCTTGGTGGTTTCCATGGTGACCGTGGAGGGAATCAACTCAAGAGTCGGATTCGTGTCCGACTCATCGTTGACTTCTTGATCGCTGCGACCCTCAAAACCAGCAGAGCCACTGGGACCGCTGGCCGGGCTACTGCTGACGCGTTGGCCGCGATTGTTGCTGAGGAGACGCTGCTGCTTAGCGACGCGACGACCCTGAGAACCGTCTCTCGTCCTCTTCCTCCTGCTCTTCTTTTTCACCGGCACCCTGACACGCCGTCTAAGGTTCCTGAGACAAAAACAGCGCACATTCAAGTCGTTTTTTCATGCGAACAGGCTTCCTAGCTTTTTTACGGCAGCGCGTTGGGAGTACAGACGAGTTACCTCTGAAGGAAAGCGTGCGGCCTGGAGCAGGCTGGTGAGTCTCCACCACACCGTGCAGGTCGATTAGCACCATTGTTGACCGCGAGTCTTTTCTTAACCAGCTGTACACGGATCAAAAGCTTCCTGACGAAACAGAGAGGTGCCGTTATAATGAGCTGACAGCATATGGGTCTGCATGTTTACTGGAGTTCCACGTTAAAGCCAGTAAGCCAGTAACCCACACGAGCGGCCTTACCCTCTCGCATTAGGCAGCCTCCTTGGTCTCCAGCTCTTGATGAGGACCCACTGGTCACATGTCAGGGACTTGGGATCTGAAGAACAAACCAGAGCAAGACGTTAAACATGTAAAGACTGAACCGCCGAATGGTGTATGTGTTGCGCTTTCAAGCGATTGTTGCCATTACCGCAATGCAGAACCGAACTGAACACATGTACACCTGTGTACACACATGGAATTTGACTCCGGTTTACTTTACTTATACATGAGAACTGGATCTTTGGATAAAGCGTGCCAGGAGGGAGGAAATGGGCTTTTTGTACTTTGTGTGCGCTCACCTCTTTAATACAACTATGTTGCAGCAGATCTTATTTACAATACATGCATCTTCTTTTGTGTAATAGTATTTGACGTGGCAATGACCCACATTCATTGTTTGTCTCATGTTGCTGGAACAAGGAATGAGTGAGCACTCACCGTTGTTTAAGAGTTTGCTTTTAATCGGTGCCTTCATTTTTTTGGCCTTCTGGTAGAGAGTCTTACAGGCGGAGCACAAGCCCTGTGGAGGCCTCAGTTTCTTCGGAGAGACACTGTTATGTAGGACGGAAGGACCAGAGGCTATGCTGCTGGTGACAGAGACACAGTCTTCATCTGAATCGTCGACTCCTTCGTCCGTCACCTCTACAAACTTTACTTCATCCTCCTCTGTGACACACCTGGCCTGAAGTGTGCTGTTGATGACGTCGATGATGTCCCGGTCCTCCTCCTCCTTGTCTGTATTGACAAGGTTGTCATCAGCTTCGGCGTCCCTCAGTCCTGTGCTCTGTCTCTTACCCCTCCACCTGCGCTGGATAACTTCTTCATTTGGACTGGGACTTCTCTGGGGACTCCTCTTGGAAGCCTTTGGTGGTCTGGAGGAGCGTCTGGGATACATAGGTAATTTCCACTTCACACAATACTCAAACGACCTGTAACAGAGAGCAACAGTGGGTGATAAAGCACCGATCAAGTGTAATACATTGGGGTGTGTCATCACTAAGCTGCACAGCTTTATCTTATTTCACAATTGAACTGAGGTCTCAGGGCTGAAAACGCTTTAGAAAGTTCTCTTGTGGTCTCACCTATAATATTCAATTCTTATGGACGTCGATTGAATGAATGACTCCAAGCCATCCGCCTCATACTCGCAGTCAGCCGCCGGCCTACAGAGACAACAAACCACGACAATCTAAACAGTGGAAGGGAAAGAAAATATAGCACAATAATAAAAAAACAACTTTGAAATTGTTCCTGTTCCGGCTTCATCTCAATTGTCATTTAATTCACAAATGTGCCTCAAGGGGCTTTACAATGTGAACAGCTTGTTTTGTAACACATCTTTGGCTCCATCGCAGCTGTTGCTTTCACTGCAGACGTTGCACTGAACTTGACCAGCAGCACAAAGGATCTGTGGACTGTTCATCCCACTCTCGGATCACATGAACTAAACTGGTTATTTTGCCTTGAGCGCCCAGGAGAGCAAGTAAAGTATGCCGAAGCACTATTTCCCTCATAGATTCCCATGAAACTGTGTTTTTAAACATGGAACAAGACCTCAACAGCAGGTAACGTTAATGATGGAGAGCCCGCGTCACGACGCCGACTCGAACATTTCGACAATGCAAACAATACTACTGTCCTTTAGCTATATTTTAGTATCTTAGCTAGCTGAGCTAATCATACTGACACCGTAAACAACGCTGAAGGCTACCAGGGACGACATCAGCACAGACACAGCTATGAATTTAACACTTACTGATTCTCAGATGATTCACTATTTGAGTGATTTGACATGTTCAAACTATTTTACCGGCAGCTAACGCTACAACTAGAAAATAGCGAGGCGCTTACTTGTTAACATACTGGCTCGTGACTTATTGAGCTCGCGGACTTGGTCGGTCGATTTGTTGCGCTCGAGGAGGACCTACTTGAAGATGTGCGCGCCGGAAGAGGGAACGGAACTTGTTCTTCTTCTCTGGTGTTTATTGGCGACTGGCAAACCAGCTCAAAGGGGCATTGCTGCCATCTACTTGGCTAGAGCGTGGAGCAGCAGACTGGCGGGAAAATACATGAAAAATAAATAATTAAATACATTATTTTTGTTATTCCTGTGGCTCTTTTTGCATGGAGAGATATTTCTGATACAATAACCTAATTAACTAATTTTACTGTAAAATCCAACACATTGTTGGTAAATATATACTCCTGATGGTCTCCTGTGTGTGTGTGTGTGTGTGTGTGTGTGTGTGTGTGTATGTGTTTGTGTGTGCTTCATAACTTGTACTAGCATGAACTGGGGCCCTTCGTAACTACCTTATGCCACACTGCTGAGGAGCACATTGACTATTTCGTTTTGACAAAATAGGACAAACTCGTATAATAATGCAGGACAAAGTTGATGTTGTAGCTGACTTAAATTGCGCAAGTGCTCAAAATGACAGCCTCCAACCGCTGCCATGACATGTTTTGACAAACTCAATCAGAAATCTTGAGAAACAGGCTTGATTGGCATAGGTATCGTATACTTCCTGACTTATATAAGTTTCAGGAACTGCATCAGGTCTCAAGTGAGCCACTTTTTGTGATGGGGTTATTGTCTTTCCAGGCAAAGGGGTTTAAACTGTACAGTGGGATACTTGATATACTTTCTTGTCACTTTTTTACTTGTGTTAATTAAGATTGTACCAATGTAATTACTATTAATTTCACACATATATATATAAGGCTTTTGAATGAATTTTAAAGGACATTCCCGTTTACTGCCAGAAGTGGAGAACAATGCTTATTGCAGTACAAACACTGTCTGGGAAAACACTGCTGTTCAAAGAGATCAAAACGTCAGCAACACTTGCAGTATAAAGAACAACTTTATTGTCCAATCGTGTTCATCCTTGACCTGTAGCGACATGGCCATATACCCAGCCCATCTGTGTGTGTGTGCCTGAAATCCTACTCTTCATCAAAACACTGCCATTTCCTCCACTGAACTTTTCCCCAGGTGCAGTGTCGGTTGTGATTGCATGCTTTCTTCTATGTATACGGGTAGCAATAAATTCCATTACACAGTAACAAAATCACTGAAAGCCCCATATCAATTACCTCCAACTGCCAGCTCTTGAGGACTGTAATTGTCGCTCTTGTACATTGAACACACACGACTCTGCTAATTCACAGTGGGATTTCTGCAACCCAGATAAAGGATCCTGAAGGGCGGGAGCAGTTTACACAAGCGTTCAAAGCACGGGGGAACGGCCGTTTTCCTACATTGCCTCACATTTACCTTTGTGTTGCTGTCAGTGAGTTGCAGACACCGAGGAAAGAGAACAATGTGGAAAGCAGCAGTGGCTGTGCTCCTGCTGCTAAACATGGATATGCAGGTGAGCGGTGCTGTAGATAAGACGAGGGGGTCCGTGGCAGAAAACCCCAGGCCGGAGAAGAAAGTGAATGCAAGAGAGGCTGAAGCCGCCAACACAATTCCTGCAAGTGACACTGCTTCCGCAGGGTTCCTGGGCAAGCTGCTGGTGGTTCCCATGGATGGGAGTCACTGGGTGGGTATAAAGGCAGTTGCCCAAGAAATGGGTCGCCGTGGACACAGAGTCGCTGTGGTGATTCCAGAGATCAGCGTACGGATGGGTCCAGGGAAACACTACGACACTGTGACCTTTCCTGTTCCTTATGGCAAGGATTATATTGATTCTGTCTTGTCCTCACACAAGGACACGATACAGAAATCTGCACAGTCTTTCACAGAGAAGATAAGGACGAAATACTCACAAATAAAGAGAATTACAGGTTTCATCCACACCACGGCAGAGAGCCTACTGTTCAATGACAGTCTGATCTCACATCTGGCACAGCAGGTGAGTGCAAATACAAAGGTTTAACACAACATCAGGAGGTAAAATCTTATAAAAAATGAAATACAATAACCTGACTTAATGCGGCATTTGTTTAGACTGTGTCTACTTCTCTTTAACTACCTTTGGGTCTGTTGCTTTGTTGGATATAAAGTGTTAGTGTCATTATGTACAACATCTGTAACTGTTAAAGTTGGGACAGTGGTAGAAGAAGTATTCACATTCTTTACCTATGTGAAAGTAAAAATACAGAAAAACAGAAAACTATTTATACTATTTAAAATTATTTAAAGAGTCAAAAGTGTAGAAAAAAAAATGTCCCCTGTTACTGACATATTATATAATATATATATATATATATATATTATATAATATATGTCATGACTGGTAATACTGATGCATCCATGTTTAATAAGCATGTACTGTTCTAGCTGGTTGAGCTTAACTCATTTACATACAGTTAGGTATTATAGTTCACTGGTTCACAAACTAGGGGTCAGGACCTTTGTAAAGGGCCACAAGATAAATCTGAGGGGTCATGTGATGATTAATGGAGGAGGAAATGTACATTTTGGGGACATTATTCCCTCATGGCCCTCAAACAGTTATTTGAATGAAACCAAAAGACGTTTATGGGGAAAATGACACAAACCATTTACATCTGAAACATGACAAGGAGCCGCAACTGGACGCTACTTTTTTTAAGTGGTCACAGCCAAAAAGGTTACAAACTACTGGTTTAGTACATTCTAAATTTACCATACTGTAAAATCTTAATCTGCAGCGTAACGATAGCTGTCAGATAAATATTCCTCTGTAGAGGTCAAGTAAAGCAAAAAAAGCTGTGTCATCAGCATGACTCCACTGTTCTGTAGAGAAGTGTATGGCGTAGAAGCAAATGTGCTTTATTAGTGCACACTGTTAAAGATTCACTCCTTTCTCCTGTGTTTCCTTTGCACCACTTCAGAACTTTGACGCCGTCCTTACAGACCCCATGGTTCCCACAGGCTCATTACTAGCTCGGAAATTAGGTGAGTTCTGCCACACTAGGATTGCTTGTGCTCTTACATGTCTGCACATTTTCTCACCGGTCACATATAAAATCGTTTTCAGGTCTCCCCACTATAAATCTGCTGAGGGGAATTCCATGTTCCTTGGATATGAAGTCTGCAGGCTGCCCCTCCCCGCCTTCATATGTGCCCCGCTTCTTCACCAGATACACAGATAAAATGAACTTCAAGGAGAGAGCTGTCAACTCTTTGGTGAGCAATTACTGTCGGATGTGCATGGACAGGTGCGTGTGTGAAGTTTGGCCATGTTGTGAGATGAACTCTTCTCCGGTTTATTAGGCAAAACACAGATAGATTCTGTGCAGACCAAACTACTTTGTATTCCTAATTTATTTCTATATTTGTCACATAATTCTACAGAAATATTCTGGTATTTTCAAAACGTTTGCAGTGGAACGCCTTGCCTCGAGTAACATATCACTATCAATCCCCCCCATCGCAGTATGGCAATACAGAAAACAAACAAACTTTGGGTCCATCTCCCTATACTTTACAGTACATTTAAAGTAATTTAGCTCAAGATGACACAGTTAAACTTGGACTGCATGACCACATAAACGTACTTTGTACATTTGTTTATTGCTGTTGTGATGCCTCTGACCTACAGGTGGCTTTACTGGAGCCGCTGCTATGCCGACTGTTGTACTGGTACTTTGATGAAATAGCCTATCGGTTCCTGGGTGAGGAGGTTGGTGTAGCTGAAGTGCTGTCAGACTCTGCTATCTGGCTGCTGAGGTAACATGTACAAAGGTTATATATTGACATTTGGGAGAAGAATACACACTGACCTAGATTGTGCTATGTAGAAGTACTCACACACGCATATACTCATACCCTAATAAACAAGGGAGGAATGCCACTAAACCACACTAAAATAAAACACATCTTACATTGAGTCCCACATACACATAAATATTGGCATACTGTGTTTTAAACAGGATGGACTTCACACTGGAGTACCCACGCCCGCTCATGCCTAATGTGATACTAGTTGGTGGAATCAACTGCAACGTGAGAAATCCTCTCCCTGAGGTAAGGCCCGTGTGTTTTTGATTGCAAATAAGTTTTTTTTTATTCCACATTTGAATTTTCTTTATTTCCTCTGCACTTTATCCGACTTATATTAATGCAGGGAGACACAGAGATACTAGATAGAGAAAGAGAGAGCAATGCCCGACCCTAGTGAATGTTTATGCAAGTTTATGCTCTTAGATGCTTGTTTGAGGAAGGGAGATGCACTTATGACTTCTGGTGACTAGTAGTTCTCTCGAAAACCGATGTTGAATACACTTATTGTAAGTCGCTTTGGATAAAAGCTAAATGACTGTAATGTAATGTAGTGTGTGTGTGTTTGCAGGATTTGGAGTCCTGGGTGTCAGGAGAACATGGGTTTGTAGTGTTCACTCTGGGCACCATGGTGTCAGATCTACCAGAAGAGACAACCTCCGTCTTCCTAGAAGCCTTCAGACAGATTCCGCAGAAGGTACAGGAATATATATGAACATACAAAAAAAATCAATTTTTGAATTGTACATCAATACAATAATCAAAAAGCAACAAATGACACATAGCATCTTTTGAAAGGTAATATGGAGATACACTGGGAAGGTTCCTGACAGTGTCCCAGAGAATGTGAAGTTGATGAACTGGGTACCTCAGAATGACCTGCTAGGTCTGTAAATCCACTGCAACACATCCTGAAATGACTCGATGAGGCGACATACACACCGTAGCATCTGACATGTTTGTGCGTGTTGTGTGTTAGCACATTCTGGAGCCCGGGCCTTCATCACTCACGCCGGCTCGCACGGTCTCTTTGAGGGGCTGTGTCATGCTGTTCCCATGGTGATGGTGCCAATTGGGGGCGACCAGCCTGACAATGCGGAGAGGTTGGCGAGCAGAGAAGCCGGAGTGGTGTTGGATATTACTTCGATCACCACAGAAAGCCTTCTTCAGGGACTGAATGCAGTCATCAATGACACCAGGTGAGGGGGTCTTATCTCATTAAAAAACAAGTTCCTTAAATCTTTGTGCTGAGGATGGGACAAGTATAAAAGATTCGGAATCTGCTTTCGGACTACCTCACTTCAAATGTTGTATTCTCAAACGCTTGCCATCAATCTGTTTGTATCCAGGTACAAAGAGAACATGCAGAAGCTGTCGGCTCTCCATAAAGACCGGCCAGTTGACCCACTCGACCTTTCAGTGTACTGGACAGAATATGTGATGCGGCACAAAGGCGCAAAACATCTCAAATCTGCCGTCCATGACCTCCACTGGCTGCAGTACTTCTGCCTGGATGTAATAGCACTACTGGCTACTGTAGTGCTGGTTTTTGTAATACTGTCAGTAAAATGCTTGAAATTAGTCTATAGGAAACTGAGCAGGAAGAGGAAGCAGGAGTGACCCGGTGCTACATTTGAACCTTCGTCTCAGCAATAACACTATATGTCAAGTGAGATTAAAAACCAATCGTTGTCATTAAAATATGAATGCAAAGTTAAGTCGGTTGTGGTTTAAAGATGTGAAAGGGTGTACGAAGAATAAGGGAAACCATGGGGTGATCACAAAAACATTTAATAAACAGAAAATACTATTAGACTCCAGACTCTGGGGCTTGAGGGACAATGAGGAGCATTAGTGGCCGCCCTTCTTGGGTGGGAACAGGGCGTACTCGACAGCCAGAGCCACAGTAAAGGCTGCAAAGCCCCACTTGAATCCTCTCAGCAGCACATCAGACAGAGTCACAGCGCGAGCGAAGCCACCAGAGTATCTCCAAGCCTCGTTGCTGCAGAGGGACAAGAGAGAAAGATAGGGAGCAGGGTCAGGAATAAGAATGACTTAAACATCAATGATATCTCATGTAGGTAGAGATACTGACCGCGCCCACGGATCCTTGAGGCCCCTGGCTGCCAGTCTCTGCTTTGTGAACTCCAGTGGTGTTCCCTCCACCTTCCACTGCCGCCAGTCCGGCATGGACATCTTGTTGTGGCCGTGGTCACCTCCCATGCTGAAAACAGATTCAGATATACAATTATACACAACAACCTTCCTCTTATTGTAATTTTTGTTTTAAATTTGAGAAATCTACAGCTGTGTGTCAAAAAAATAAATGAGACTAAATTTTCCTCAGGGTTAAAATAAAGTGAAAATATTATTATACATATTATGTCCATATTGCACAAAGTCTCTTCAATCCAGGAGGAAACATATTTGCCTCCGATGTACAAGTGATAACAGCTTACTCTTTGGTTTCTATTTTCTTTGTGTGTAGAAATGAACATGTAACTTGGAAATTGCTTCAGATTTCTTTTGGTGTAAAGGGTTGTGGACATGTCATCAGAATCTTGTTTTGGTGATCAAAGTGCCAAGTGTTCATTTTGGCCAAAGCTGCAGCTTATTACTGCTATGTAAATGTTATCATCTGTGCAAACAAGCTCAGACATAAACATGCAAGGATAAATATGCTCAAATACATTGTGATGTTTATTGTATAAGCAGAGACATGAAAACCTATGTCTCTGGTTATACAGTGAGGTGGAGGTATTTGGTTCCTGTCCTTCTGGAAGTTGATGTACATGGCTGCTGTATATTGTAACATCTCAGTCCACTTTAAAATTTCTAAACACATGTTCCTGGTATTTTTGGTTTCTCAGGACGCATAACTATGCACAAGTTCGCCCTAAATCTTAGTTCCTAGACTAAAATAAATCAAAGTATTCTACAACACAACACAACACAACACCTTATTTGAACCACTAACGTGACATCATCTCTGGGCAGCAAACTGCTCAGGATGGTACATGACGATTATAATCAAGTTTTAAGCCGATCACTCAGAGATATATATATTTACCTTTGTGTTTGTTGAAACCATGGATACAAACCACCGGTTAATCAAGCCCTGCCACAATTAGCCACATTGTGCCAGATTTGTGTACTTTTATAATAAATACCTAAAGAAGCAACTCGTCGCTGCCCTGCTGACATTAAACCTGCTCACGGGTGTTACACGTCATTAAATATGCCTTACGGTTACGTTATGAATGGCTGGCTATCTTAATCCATTCACTGTCATTGATTACTAAGCGAACCTAAGTTACATAACGTTACCTGAAATAAAGGATCCCTTCGTACAAAATGAATCTAAATATTGATAAAGTCAAAGCGCAGTCAACCCGCTGTGGAGCGACGGTAGACAGCGTTTCCTCAGCTAGCATTACGATAGCTAGCTAAGCTAGCTCGCTGGACAGATACAACTGCAGCATTTGTTCGAAGACGCATTATCTACACCTTCATTATGTGTTACGATAGTTTTGCCACCCACCGGGAAAGAGCAACAAAAGATTCGACACCAATATAAAATTGTATCTAAAAGAAAAACACTGTACCTGAGTGGTTTGTTGTGACCTCTGTTGTTGGACTAAATGTTTGCGACAGTTAACGTTGTCTTACGGTAACACTACGGCACAGCATTTGGGACAAAACACCAGAGCGTCTATTTAAATGAGAAGGCGTTTTGTGCAAACTTACAGTCTATGGTGCAAACCATTATATGAGCAGTGCAGCACTTTTATGCATGGAGTACAACTATGCGTTTATTTATTGTTGTAATATCCGTTTGGGCATTTGTGAACTGTGAAGGCAGTAGTTGTTTCAGCATTACAACATAAAATACAACATAACTCTGCATAGCATACAATTCTAATGAATGTTTACTCTACATATTCATTACTGTTCAGGGGTCACTAAAGGCCAACCTAATATGAATACTTGACAACAATACTTAGGTTGTCTTTTATTCTTCAAAGATTTTTAATTTCAATAACTAAAGCTTTACTAATGTTACTATTTTCCCTTAAATATGATAAATAAATGGAAGCATGTTACATAAAGATATTAAAGTAACAACTACTGAATATAACTGTACATCAAAGGGTATGAGGTACCTGTAAAAAAACAAAAAGAGTTGCTTTCCAATTTTGTCACCGTAGCAGCCTAGTCCAAGGTGCAGGTTAAAAATTAAAGGTGATGTTGCTTTCGACATTGTTGCTCCCAACTTTGAAACAGCCTCAGAGACACTAAATCAGTGCAAATTACAACAACAAGATTGCCTTTTTCCTTTATTGTTGCTCTTTTTATGGTCATTTGTTCTGTTAAAAGACACATGTTAATTTACATAACTTACAAATGCATTGGAAAACATATTCTACATACATTTCAACAGTTGTTTAACAGACACAACTCATTATTCAAGAAATCAGACACTCGTGTTGCTAATAATTACATACAATTATGTACATGACCTGCAATAATAAATCACACAGTCTTATAAACAGGCCGCTGTGGTGTCTTGTTTCTTTGACAGTGCTTGTGGTGCCTCCAGAGCTCAATGTCCATGATGCTTGCTGGCCAAGTGTGACACAAGTGTGTGTGTGTGTGTGCGCGTGTGTCTATGCTCTGGGCTCAGAATATGTCATAAAAGTGAATTAGAGTTTGCTTTCTGGGTTGAGCAGGTCCTTCAGAGTGTCGAGGTTCTCCCCCTCTGGAGCCGCCGGCCATGCGCTGTGGTCTGGAGAAGAACACACAAAACACTTATTCTTTAGTATCCTACGTTGTATGCTGTATAGTATATATAGTATATACCGTAAAGACAGAAGTGTGGATGCTTTAGCGAGATGAACGTACTGGGGATCTCCCACATGGAGTGGTACAGACTCTGTCCTGCATCAACCCTCAGGGTGGCTCCGGAGACGTAGGAGGCAGCAGGAGAGAGCAGGAAACACACTGCTGATGAGATCTGAACAGCGAAGCACAAATTTAGAAGAAATCACTGCAGTCGTTGACACTGCAACAAAGCCAGACACAGAGCACACACTCTGCATCTATTGCTCTCAATGACCATATGTGAACCATTAGTATTTTCTATTTAAAGGGCCCACCATCTCACTGCGTTACGTGGTCTGACTTCCAAGAACACGACCGTTTCTTTATCACTCATGTTTCGATACGTGACTTTGTTGTCTAAAGGTAACACTAATATGTAATTGTCCTGTCATATGTCTCACAGAATGTTTTCTGAAATACAGAGAGTAACAGTTCAGTTTGACTTCCTGTTGTGGCGATTATCAATTAGACAATTAAACAGGTGATTTTTCTGAAATAAACAGATGCTGTGACATTGATAATTGAAGATGCTACTATGGTGTATTTAGTGTCGTACATCTGCTCTGAGTTTCATGATCGCCTTTCCTCGGTGTATTGTGGGTGTCACTTCATAGTTACACACCTCCTCTGGTACTCCCAGCCTCTTCGCAGGGCTAAATGGAACAGACATCTTGAAAATAATTGGTCCAAGCTCCTTGTAGTTCTCCATCGCAGTCTTGGAAATGATTGTACCCTGCAACCAGATAAATGCACAGATTTGACATGACTGCATAATTAAAAAGACCTTCTCACACTTGCACTGCGTTAACTCGTGACCTGTACTCACGGGTGCAACAGCGTTCACTCTGACCCCTGCGGGCGCCCACTCGATGGCCAGACTCTTCGTTAAGTTGTCCACCGCTGCCCTCGCTGCCCCTGTGTGGCTGTCGGGGAGAAGAGACATTGAGTGTGCCAGTTGTATATTGGTGTGTGTGAACTTGGTGGGCGGCGCTGCTTACGCCATGCCTGGGAAGCCCTTCCACATGTCAGCGATGATGTTGACAATCACACCTCCGTGCCGTTTCATCCACGCGGCGTAGACTGTGTGAACAGAGCAGCAGCACAGTCACACGGAGAGCTTTAACGAAAACACAGACACACACTCTGAGCCAGCGTTAGCCGTCTGCTTCTTACCCTCCTGGCAGCAGTGGAAGGTTCCGGTCAGGTTGGTGTCTATCACGGCTTTCCAGCCTTTGGAGGACATGTGTTCCGCTGGGCTGCTGAACTGACCTCCTCCATTGTTCACCAGAAAGTCTATCCTGCCATACCGCTTCAGCACCGATGACACAAGCTCCTTCACCTGCGACAGGGGGGGGATCAAAACATCAACATGGAGCAGTTCCAGAGGCCGAAGGTGTGCGCAGACCTCTTATACACAGTCTATGGAGCAGGCCCACCTCGTCCTCGTTTCGGATGTTACATGGTAGAGGAGTGACACTCGCCGGGCTGGAGGCAGGGATGTTTTGTCTCATCTCCTGAGCAGCCGCCTCCAACCTCTCCACCTTTCTACTGGAGATCACCACGTTGCAACCTGGAGACAAAACAGTTAGCCATTTGGTTATGTGATGTGATTATTTGGAATGAGGTCACCACAAGTCAGAGAATACTTGGTCTTGTGTGATTATTTTTAAAATATATGGAGTGCCACTGAATGTCATTGTGAGGAAACCTTTCTCACCATTGACACTTTATTTATTGCCATGTCATGCCAACACATGAACGGTATTATTCGGTATTTATTCAGCCATGACAAACTTGACCAGTTCTGTGTCCCAGGATATTTCTGCTATATTGACACTTACTGTAAACTTTTTTTTTTTTTAAATCATACCTTTACCATACACAGACAGTTGTTACCAAATATCGTGCCTCCACAGTGTTCACACAGTTTCAAAGCCTTGGCTGGTCTGACAGTCAGCCATGTCTTCCTCTATCTGTGTCGAAGTTCACCTAGCTGGCTCGTGTTGTCATTCAGCTGCTGTTCTCTTCAAATATGTCTCGTGAGCCTGAACACCGCGTCACTCACCCAGCTCCAGCAGCTCTGCAGAGATGGCTTTACCGATACCGGTCCCGCCACCCGTTACTATTGCAACTTTCTGGTTAAACAGCCCCGGTCTGAAAACACTGGACACCGCCATACTTGTTTCTTAGCTCTACTGAGGAAAAGCACCGAGGGAAAAGGGGGACACCACGCCGCCTGCTACGTTTCACGGAAGTAGATATCTCTGGTGTTTCAATGCTGCCATCTTCAGGAATAGAGCATTAACTGTTTTCATCGTAGTTCATCCTAAATTGGTCAGATGGCAATCCGTCATTTATTTCGACAATCATTTTAAATTCTATATATTCTAATTCAAATAGTTTCCAAGTTGTTTTTTAGTCTATTTCAATTAATTTTGTATTGGTTGTGTGTGCTAATTTGTAGTTATGTCTATTCACACCTGTGCTGAAGATCAATAAAGATTTAGAAATGACCACAAAAAACGGTTTATCTTACTTGCAATCAAAGTGACAGTATATACAATCCACTGTTATATTTACAGCACAATTGATGCTGATCCTGTATAGTACCAGTAATAAACCTTTTTCACCAGACATTCTGATCGACCACTGCAGGACATCCACAAGCACCATACATTCAGTGAAAAGGTTTCAACTTCTGCTCAACTTAAGAGCGACTTTGGCACTAACCTGTCCTATTTGTTGTGTAATCATGTATATATTGTATTGGTGGATTTTAGGTTTGTTGTTGACTACTGACTGAAATCACAATTGCACCTCACAGACATTGAAGCGTTACTCTACTACACCAGAGGGAAGATATTGCTGAAGTGTCTAAATATCTGCAGGTAAAAGAAGTCTGTATTAAACATTTAAGTTCTGCTCAAGTATTTTTCATATGACCTTTAATAGTTCCACTTAACTAACTTTTTGTTTCCTTGTTGATCCATTAAGATATATTGACCCTCTGATCCAGAGTCGGCAGTAGTCTTTAATTTGCTGTGTATTCAAACAGGCAGAGGGCTCTGTGGCAAAGCGCTGGATTGAAAAGCAAAGGCTTGAATTCAGTTGTCCACAGGTTATAATCCAGCAGATTTCTAACTCCTGTATCAGAGTGACAACAGCCATAAATCTGTGGATTTCATCAGAAAAACTGCAGGTGTTTACTGCCAAGTGGCTACTGCCAAGTGGCATCAGCGAAAGCAAATTTACAAGGAAATCTGTACCCAGAGTTCATGGCAGCAGCCACCAGACAAATGCTGATAGAAGGTGCAAGTTGCTGCTAGATTTGCTTCACTCACTCAAAAAAAAAACCAGCTGTAATATATTAAATTGCTGGTAAACTTTAGAATCCACCAGCTACAGAGGCCAACAGTAATTTTTTATGAACACTGGTTGTATCGCTTTTTGATGGTGCAACTTCATTGGCACCCTACCTTGAACTTTCTCACTCATGCAGGTTCGGTAAAGCATCTTCTTGTACTTGGCGCACACGTTTTGATTTCCCTGTTCCATTATAAAAGACAAACAAAGACAAAGAATTCCACTCCAGACAGATTTATTTGTCGATGTTGAGGCCAAGTCCAGGTCGGTTAAATTATAGAAAAAGTCCCAAATTCACCAGTGAGTCACTGGTTTACTGGTCCTTCAACTCCTTCAGCCTCCTGATCGCAGACTTGACTGTGACAGCGGAGGTTGTGCTGAAAAAGACAAACAAAAATATTACTTTGTGAATTCATATTGATATTCCCAAAAGTCCAGCCACAGATACCCATCCCTTTTTTTTCCCTTGGTGTTGCTCATATTAAGCGAATAAATTCACTATTATTCATGCAGGTGCTGTTTGGCAATTACCATTTGCATAACAATAAAATAAAGCGATGTGTACTTGTGGTAAAAGTTTAATTTTGAATTGTGGTAGTTTTTTCAAATATTAAACTCTTTAATCTATTGACATTTTAGTCAAGGGCATGCCAAAAATTATTCTACTTATGCCCTCTTCATGCTGCCTTAAATTCAAGGATTCAATGAACAGTATTCAATATTAATGAAAAAAGCTGTCCAGATAACCTCTAAAACACATCAGCAAGAAGCTGCCATACTTCATTTGAGAGCACTTAAGAGTTGCTTTGTGGTTCACTGATGGCGTTCAATGTAATGTTGATTTTAGACATTTTGTGGTAGGTTGACACAGCCATCCAATACTTTTTTTAATGCTCGTGTCTGGCAAGGCCATGCTTTTTACTTCAATTAAGATTTCCATTGGCTTATTCATGAATCTCTTTGTTGACATGTCAAAATGAATCCTCCATACATCTAATTGGACTAATGTGACATCTCCTAGACTGTCATCAACTAAGATCCAATGTATAATTGAAGAATGAGTCAGCTGTTCTGGGAAAAAAAAATGTTCAAACAAAATGTGAGGGGAGAAATATAGTATGTAGCTGCTGGATCATGATTCATACTTCACAAAACAGGGATGTTACTATGTTGGTAACGTTCACTGAATGAGACAATCTGAGCGGGTGAGTAAATGGTTTTATATGTATGCTAAATCTCAAAGAGTTTACAAGCTACAGTCTAGCTGTGAGATTGATATTTTGGTATGATGAACGGTGATTGGGCAGTGCCCCTTCCAATGCCAAATCACAGCATCGTTAATGGGCATCAATCAATACTGACCAACACCTCTGCAAACAGATGTATTATATACCGTTTCCATAACATCTTGCTCTGAACAGGTAGCCTATTTATTGCACAAACTGGCTAATCACTGACAGATATAATATTTAGACCACAAATAACTATTGGAGCCTTGCATAATATAGACACATTAAGTGACATCCAGCCTTCTAGGTGAACAACAACTGTTTAGCTGGATGGTAGAATTGCAGCAAAGCAAAAAGAAGCCTACTTGTAAGTCCAGGCGCCTCCAGCCACCGTCTTCCTGCAGGACCCACAGTGCCAGATACCAACGGCCCTCCTCTTCATCTTGGTCTGTCAATGCAAATTGAATACAATAATAAGTTACAAAACAACATCTTGTAATTTATTCCTGATAAAACATCCAAACATATGGGTATAAAAATCTGTGCCATTTGTTTTAAGCATTGTACCGTCACATCAATAGGCACACTGCTTTCTGAATAAGGTCGTGAACGAGTCAGGGTCGCACTTACCTTGCCACAGAAAGAGCAGGTGTATTTAGCGTGCTGGGAGATTTCAATCTTCTTCACCATCTTCCTCAGCGACGCGCCATAACGCGTGCCATATTTACCAACGATCCCCACCTTCTTGGTACGCTTGGCCTGTGAACATAACACACAAAATAAGATTTAAAAAATCTGACTTTATTGGAGGCGAACAAGCAGTCAACGCTTCTGATAAACGTGTTTATAACAACCTACACATTTGGCACTAAATTAAATTAAAGTATAGTTCAGTTACTAGTGATAAACGGAGCATATTCTAACCCCATATACACAGAGCCGGTCATGTTTTGAGGATATGTTGCAAACCGAATGTATCGGGGGAACACATGTCACTGCAAGTATTCAACACACGTTTAACTCAACTTAACTATAAAATCAATGGAACCAGGTTGAATAAGATTGTGTCACCAGTGGTGTAACCGGCTTTAACCAGCTAATGTTAGCATCCATTAGCTTCCTCTGATCAAGCGAGCCACTGAACGTTAGCTAACTTTACAGTGTACACCAATTCAACACTGGTCCAGGTTTGGAGACGACAAACTATAGTGCGACATGACGCAAGTCATTTTATTTTACTGTAAAACCGCAGGCCTTCTACACTTGCACGGAATATAGAATTTAGCGGCCGACAGCAAGCTACTATGACTAGCCGCCTAGTACCCGGACTCAGTGAGCAACTTGTAGCAATGGTGTCAGCCATTTCTGCCTCACTGGGACATGAAAACATCGTTTTATCCGTTAAAACAGTCCCCAAACAGACACAAATAATGGTCGTCTCTGATCAACAAGGACATCACAGAGCCTCACAATGTGTGATTATATTATTTAGACCACAGGAATTGTTAGATTGAGACGGATTTCAAAGGGGACATTTTCGGCTCACCATGGTTTCAGTGGAGACGTAGGTCCAAAGAGGGATTGCTCAGCGCGCATGCGCGATTTACTCTGTCGATTACGCTGCATTGTGGGACTTTGAGTTTTGACTGCTTTGATAGTACTACATGAAAATAAAACTACTCTTGTAAATCGTATAAAATAGTACGGAATCTTGCAAAGTAGAAGTATTACTGTTAAATATTTTCAAAAAAATGTACGCAATAATGAAAAAGGAAACGGCTGTAACTAAGGACGCGTCAGTGGACACGCGCATGCGTATTCATGTGGTGGAAACGACATCCTTGTTGCAGAGTTGAAATGTTTGTCCGCTTAGCATGTCACAATGGGGGCTTTGGTGTTTGTGAACATATAGTGCATTAAATGATTCATTCTTGACAGCTATGTTAGTTGTTATGCTATGAAGCTAACACGGAAACAGGTTCTCGCGAAAGCTAAGGCCTCCGACCTGGAAAGCGTGAAGAAATTGAACTGCTGGTAAGTGTTGACATTTTAGCTTAACATTTACCAGTCACGTTTGTTTTTACGTTACATGTTGATGGCTGAGGTTGACAGGCACCGCTTGTTTTACATACATCGCATTTGTGATGACGTTGTATTTCTTCTTTTTTGCAGGGGATGCAACCTGACTGATGTGAGTAGTCAGTTAATGGACAGCACTATTTGGTTTGACACATCATGCTCAAATTGACTTTGTTACTGTGTATTATTTTTAATAATAATAATATAAGTGTTCCCTTACACTCTTGTCTTTCCAGATTTCTATCTTCTCCCAAATGGCCAACATTGAGGTGCTGACACTTAGGTTGGTCTATTTAAATTAGCTGTGTCTCTCTTTGTCAACATTCACATGTGACACTTACATTTGCACCTGATCATTTGAGATGATCAATGAATCCTGGCTGTGGTGTTCTCCCTTTTCCTCTGTAGTGTCAACAGCATCTCGTCTCTCTCTCCTCTGGCTGGTTGTCTGTCTCTATGTGAGCTCTACCTGAGGAGGAACCAGATCCCCTCACTCTCTGAGCTCTCGCATCTGCGTCCGTTGACTCGTCTCAGGGTGCTCTGGCTGGCTGAGAACCCCTGTTGTGGAACCGACTCCAGCCAGTATCGCCTCACTGTACTGCGCTGCCTGCCTCGCCTCCAGAAGCTCGACAACCAAGGCGAGTGTGCGGAGTGTGTGTGACTGTATGAGAAATTATTTGCGCCCACAATTGGAAGAAAGACATTCAAATGATTGTTTTGACTCTGCATAGCTTTGGTATGACCTGAGAGATTATATCTGTGATGGGATTGGAAATGATTGTAATAAAGAGTTTGGTGTTTTATGTGTTTGCAGTAGTGACTGAGGATGAGCTTGCACTTGCTCTCATGGAGGGAGAAGAGCTCAGCACCCCCCCAGACAGTGTCCAAAACCAGCTCTCCACCAACGGACTGCCAGATGCAGAGACGGAGAATGACCCTCTTAACTACAACATGGAGGAGACCAAGTAAGCCTTGTGGATTAAAGAGGGTAGAACATGCATCGGCTGAAATTAATCTCTCAATGTAATGGAGACATATTAAGAACAAAATGTTTCCATCTTGATTTTAGCAAAATCAGAGAGGAGTTGGGGATGAAACTCCTCTCCAGAGACAAGTTCCCCTCTCTTTCTTCTCCATCAACCAGAGAAAACAAACAATCAATGAAAAAGGTACCCTCTTATATCTGAGCGTTGCTTCCTTAGAACTCAGAAAGTTGGAATAAACTTTAAAATGTGGAATATTTCGTTGTTAATCTCAATTGTATTTTTCAGACGCACATTGTCGATGCAGTTCTGCTGCTGCTGAAGGACTTGGATGAAGAGGAGCTTCACATCGTACACACAGCTACCCAAAACAGACTCCAGACTTACACGCTGGACTCAGAAATACTAACAGATTCACTGCAGACACAGAAAACTGCTGACATCCAACACTGAAGCATTATCATGGCACGCACTCAGGGCCCAACATCTCTCCATCCCGTTTCCAAAACACCCTTTGTTTTTTTACCCGTTACCTTCCAATTGCAATATGCATGGCATGTGATGTAGCTTCACTGACTGCTCTCCCTTTTGTTACAGTTTTCACATGTGTAGGAGTACTCAAGAACTTCTCTGGCTTTCTTTTTTTTCTTTCATAGCAGCATGCCTACCTGCCTTGTACAAACTAAAGAATGTACATTTTGCTTTATGTAAATCTATTTCTGTAAGTAAAGAGATGAAATTGCAATAACTTATTTACTCTTCAGTGTTGATTTTAATTACACAGGTGTTAGATTAAAACATGTATACATCAAAACACAAGATGTGAATGTCACAGAGCTATGATGGGGAATTTCTGACAAGTGAAAACATTTCACCAATAATTAGATTCAAACCATTCAAAAGTATGCAGAGCCTGTGAGCCGGGCTCACGTCTTATGTAGATCAGATGTAACCCGGCATTTCTATCAGTGACCGATTCAACCATTAACCCTAACTGGTTAAGTCAGTGGATGAACTACACGCGATACAAGTCAGCCTTTTCTTCTCAGTCGGCCTCTTCGTTCTCCAGGAAATCCATCAACGTGCCCGCGTCCACGGCAACGACTAAGTACTCCACTCCGTCAGCACCCTGGAGCATCATGGGAATAAATGTTAAGTGACCGACACTGCAGTCTGCAGATAGTTATGACACTGAATGAGGGCCGGTAATTCTGGAGTGAAACAGGACCCCACCTTGCGTGTCCGTATCAGTTTGTGGTCTCTGAACTCAGTCAGCTGAGTCCTCAGTGTGAGGTCAGAGTTCACCAAGAACGCCTCTCGACAACGCTGGTAGAAATCTTGGAATGACAATCCTGCACACAGTGACTGGAAAATATGACAATCACCAAGCAACAAATATTCCCAAATTTTAGGGAAAGACCTGTGGAGCATTTAGAAGTTGTGTGTGTACCTGTGTATGAAGGGTTATCTTTGTTTTCCAGCTGGAATTTCACCAACAGTTGGAAAATTCCTCTGCAAAAAGAAAGGACACAGAGCCAAGTAGACCTGAAGTAATTCATGAATTACTCAACAGCTCTGACAGTTAATCATATCAAGGTGTATGTGGTACCTTGCATTGGGTGTCAAGCTGCGCAGCACGTGTGTGAGGGAGGAGAGAGCGAGAGCGCCGGTCTGCTGCACCAAGAGCGAGTTCTCGTACGACGTTTCCTCTGAGTAGTGCTGATAGGTCACACACTCCCACCACAACCAGTTAAACTGGCTCTGCTTAAACTGGTCCCACACTGGAAACACACGGGAAAGAGTCAGCTACAAGAATACGTTTCAATATGATCAACATGGCAGTACAGTCACACACAAAAAACACCCACCCATTGGAGCGTTTATGTGGTCTAAAGACGCCACCATGTGCAGGTTGGGCAGAGATGCCAGCTGCCCCAGTGCACTCTGGGTCTTGTCTCCTCGCAGCATTGATCCATCTATATTATGGATCAGCAGGTACACATGGAGATCTGGGCCTGCGAGGACATGCTTCAATTGTCAAAACGCAGAATTCAAACAAGCTTAAGACGGAGACAATTGACAAGACGCACTCACTCTCTTTAAGGGTCTGAGCGATGTACCGGATCTGGTCCGAGGGCGTCCGGAAACTTCCCTGATGCTCTAGAACCTCACATGTCAGAGCATTTAAAATCTGCAATGAAAGCATAGACGAAAAAAGAGAATATAACTATCAATACCACAAGGCTGGATGCAAAATCGGTTTGGTCATTTCAGTTGAATTCTTGACATAGACTGTACCAATAAAGCATTTTAATATGGAAGATATTCTTCTGTGTATACTGACTGATTTAAGAGTAATGGAGGGGAAGAATCCGTTGACCACGAGGTGGATTTCCTGAGCCAGGTGAGACACACGGAAGTCCTCCAGCAGAGATTTCTTGCTGCCCAAACCGTAGACCAGCACACTGAATCCCAACCTACACACGCAAACACAGAGACATTACATTACAGTCATTTAGCAGACGCTTTTATCCAAAGCGACTTACAATTCAGAGTCTATCACATTTCTACGGGAGCAATTTTGGGGTTAAGTGGACACATCGACATTGCTCAAGGACACATCGACACGCAACTAGCAGATTGAACCGGGAATTGAACCGCTGACCCTCTGATTGAAAGACGGCCCTGCTATCCACTTAGCCACAGTCACCTTCTGTGGCACAGTCGCCAGAGACACGTTCTGTATTTCAAACAACACACGCAAAAAGAAAAAGACACGCAATAAAGAAAGTGCCAACCACACTCACTGTAACTGTAACATCCATTTGCTAAAGTGCTTTCGGTGTTTGCTGTTGAGCTGCCGGATCTCTTTGGAGCAGCAGGACGGTTTTCCTTCTAAAAGCTGGACCAAAGTCTCCTGCAAACAGAAAATAAGGAAGCGCTTCAATGACACGGGAACGCGGCTCGTTGAATACATTTAGACTACTGGCGGTCATATACTCACCCTGTCAAGCTTAGGGGTGTGTAAACGCTCCAGGGTGCGGTCTGATGTCAAGACCTTCGAATTGCCATGGGCTTCAAAATACTCCTCAACCATACTGGGCTGATTGAGGGCTTCAGATGTGGTCTTGCTCTTCTTGGCAGGAGTCTTGTAGAGCGCTGCAGAGGAACCTTTACTGGGCGTTCTTAGAGTCTTCAAGTTCTCCTTGTCTTCTTTCTTTACTTTCGTCTCTTCCTCCATCACATCTTCTTCATCATCCTCCTCCTCCTCCTCAGAGTCAGAGGGCGACAGCTCACTATCGCTGTCTGACCGCATGCTGGGAGCTGAGAGCATCGAACAGCTTAGTAAAAGTCTAACTTTCTACATATTAACTAGATTCCACCTCCATCGTCACACTCACTTGTTATTCTCTTCCTGAGCCTGTGGGGTGTCGTGGAGACAAACTGAACCTTCTTGCTCTGTCATGCAAAAAGCAGAGGTAAAACTGAGAAAACAACATCTCTGACACTGCAGCAAAGCAGCCTGCTTATATGGCAACATCATCAAAAACAGGTTGCTGGATCCGACGTGTCGTGTATATAAGAGAGCAAAACCAATCCCTTCTAGTCTCACCCTCTGTGGCGTCCTGCTTCCACCTCTGTGGTCTAGTCGGAGAGAGACAGAATACACTTGGTTCTATGCAAATGGTCACAGGAAAGGATGGACACGAAAACAATAAGGGAAGTGTGCTGAACTCACTGCGGCCTGTTCGGGTGGGAGTCGAGGGTTCAATGTTGGGGGTCGTGCTGAAGCTCACGCTTTTCCCAGGAGTCCGAGCCAATTCACTTGCTATTTGTAAAAAATAGAAAAATACAGTGTGTACTATCCTGTAAACCAAGTTACTAATCATAACATAAGAGGACGAAGGCTCTCACCAGTCTGGGCCATGCTGTGTCCACGTTTGGCTTTCTGAAAGGTGAAAATGGAGGACCCCGCCACTCTGTACATACCCTCCTCATCTTCTGCAAATCAAAGGGAAAGTATGTAAGTGAGATGTAACCACGTGAAGGAGCCATTAGTGTATAATTAGTAGCAGTTAACACAACGGCCTTGTGCTAATTCAGGCTGTAACAGGAGGAATAGGGGCTGGTGTGTTGATTGCATTGATCAGTCGTGAAAATATTATATTTTACTATACTGTAGATAGATTCAGCCCACTCTTGTTGATGTAAACAGGGTGAACAATATACCCTCACAGGAAGCACATCAACAACAAACTCTAACACTGTTGCAACTCTATGGTTTCAACACAAACAACAGGATGTATTGCAGGGCTGTTGATTACACTGCATAGCTATGTGTACCTAATGAAATGGATAACCGAGTGCATATTAAATGGCAGCTGGATATTGCTTTGCATCATTTAGCAGCAGGCTGAATAACAGTTCTAAAAAATATACCCCTATTAAGACAGCTGGAGCAAAATAATTGGACATGGTTTACTACCCACAACAGGTGTTCAAGAACATGCAGTTGTTTAACTCACCTTCTGCATTGTCTGTTCCTAGAGCGTGGACATAGTTCTGCTCATTAAGGACTCCATTTTCATCCCCATCACATTCTGCATCCTCTTTGGCTCGTCGCCCAGCAGGGCTCTTAAACGTCACCATCTTCTGAACAGACCCACTGCTGCTCTGCACGCCTGTACGTTATACACAGACAGACAGACGGGCAGTTAGACAGACAAGAGAGACAGTTAGTGAGACGGAGTAGCCAGCGAACCTGCTCGTAACCCCAAACATCCAAGCAGGAGAAGTTAAGTGTGTGTGTTGTCCACATACCCTCCTGTTTGTCCACGATGTGCTCCAGAGCATCTCCATCACCAATGAACTTCACCTCCAACACGCTCATGATGACTAAAGGGAGATACAACGCACAGTGTGACAGCAGCTAGCTAAAAGCTAACTAACGTTACTCAGCGGGGTCTTAAAACGCTACTTTAGTTAGGCTCTATCGGGCACGGTAACGCAACGTTAGCTGACAGTGCAGTGTGGAGTAACGTTAAGTTAGTCTCCCTGTGGACAGTCGGCATCAACAGACAGCGGCTGCGCACTGAATGTCTAAAGGACAAGAGGAACAGTAACCGGATGCGTCTAACTAACGGTAACTTACCAGATAATGTGTCAGTGTCGCCCGAGGAAAATGTAAACAACACTTTCATGAACTGAAGGCAACACTGTGTGGTGTGACAACTTTCCGCGCCATCCTCCTGAAGTTTTTAAACCACGTGACAAGCGAAAGGTCACATACTGGCCAATCAGAACGTAAGCTTCAATAAAACCACATTTCCCAAGATGCACTTAGCACAACCTCCTCGCTTTTGAGAGTTTTATGATTGTTGGAAATAATAACAATAACAGTAATTTGGCATTAAACTTAACTGTTATAATAAATGTTAATAAAGTTTGAATTATATTATCATTATGACACCTATTTTAGAAATGTGCAAGATCAAACAAGTAGAAGTAACTTTATAGTAATTTGATTTAGTCAGAAAAAAATAAACCACCACCATTATTCAAGAGAGGCTGTGCTAGTCACTGTACAATTAGTCCATAAAAGCTTATCTGAGCAAAGTGTCTCTTTTTCAGTAATTACATTTGGAGACAATACAAAACTGAAGATCGTGCAAAAAACTAAATAATGGATATTCAAAAATAAATTAACACTCCTGAAAGCAGAAGGTTAAAACAGACAAATCTAGGCTACATTAATTATAGACAAGAGTCATAACCCATGCTTTTCATAGTATTTGTTTTTAGTGTTTCAGCCTCCAGTGAGTGCTCACATACTTACAGCAGCCTAATGGCATTTTGTTGCTGCTGTCTTGGTCTTAGTATATTGACATTCAAATACTGACTCCTTTCATAAACACAGCTAGGTGGCTTTGATGAAATGATGAGGCGACAACATAGTCCAAAAGCTTTTTGTTATTCAAACCCTTCAAATACAACATTTGGAGAATTGGTCGACAAAAGTAGTAGGTGTTCCTTAATCAGTGGTTTTATAACCTCTACACTTATATCTATCTATCTATCTATATATCTACGAGTTGCTCTGAGAATGCCTTCAACCCGTGTTCATTGAGCCAGCTAATTCACCACCCGCGTGTTGGTGTCCACTTCCCCAGCAGACGGCCCTCAGAGTGCACATAGTACACGGGATGCATCATCGTAGTGGCACACGACTGTAAAATGAACAGAGACCAGGTCAAACAAGAGTCGAGTGACACGATAAAGCTGACACAGCAGTAAAACACGCTCCACATTGAACTGTACTAACATGGTAGGGGATCAGTGTCAGCAGGGATCCCAGGGGGTATTTGCTGTAGTCCAGCGGTCCTGAGATGGGCTCCACTCTACCGTGCTCCTGGGTCATAGATAACAACCTGGGGCGAAATATATTTCATCAGAACTTCAGTCACACATGAGACTGTATTAAGATGAGAGACAGGAGTAGATAACTTTACTTGAGGTCCGGGTGTCCTTCAATCACAGCATATCCAGTGGGAAGTATTCCGGCTCCTTCTAGACTGAGAGCAGCGACCACAAATGGGTTTAAAGGAAATATCAAAACAATAGACAGCTGCAACGATGAATAAACACTGTGATTTAGTGTTGCTTAAATGTATCTGCTCCTGTTGGGGAGCATCATTGGTCATTTGAGAGGAAATTAATTAAAACAATTATTTTTGCCCTCAGACTCCTTCCCCTAGAGTCATTTAAGTATGCTATCATACATCACTAAGGATTATGTCAGCTTAAAACAGTAAGCAGGTAAACAATACTGATGAAGGTACCTGAGTCCACTCCATCCACAGTCAATCAGGAGCTGGTTCCTGTGAGGACAGTGTCCGATGACTCTCGTCAAAACCCTCACAGCCACATCCTCCAGACTGCACGAGCCAATCACCGACTGCTGCACGTCTGGAAGACAGCCACAACAAAAAAACAACCGGATTCATCTGCCTGACAAAATACACAAACTGGTGCACTTATACAACTACAGCTACATCCATACACACACACACACCATAGAAGACATAGTTTCCAGGATGCACCTCGCTGAGCTGCGCCATGTCTTTGACTGGGTGACTACAGGAAGGGGTGGAGCCAATGCTGGACTTACAGGTGATGCCGGCAGCCTTCAGTCTGCCAGAGAACAAATCCAGAGAAGCTTACAGAATGATTCTATGAAGACAGCATTTCATAGGAACAAAATATAATAGATTATGTGAGTAGGTGCGCTGTCGTCTTAATGTGATAACTGCCAATAGGTAATACAACATAAATCTGCATTTAAATTTGAAGTCGCTTGGGGGCAGTGCAACAAGCTGCATGTGAAATTGGAAAAAGGTTGACAGTGTCATTAAGCAAACTTTCAAGTAGTGTAAATCCAATTCTACATTTTTGACAAATAAGAAGTTTAATGTTCTTTCTTATTAACTGAACTTTCTTCTACAATCATAAAACAACAAGACTTTTGTCAAGCAGAGAACTTATAAATGATTACCGTCAAAAACGTGTACACGTGTATATGCCATTCAAAAGTAAACCAAATTATATTCATAAAAAAATGTGTACCTCAGAAAACATTGCTTGTATTATAATCATTCTCTGTGGCAGGTTAAATATGACATAATTGGCCTCTACTTGCATTTTACTGTCTTTTTTTTTTTTTTTTTTTACATACTTTTCCATTAACTGCAAAGTCAAGTTAGTGGTTTCCTGTGCGACAGCCTGTATCTGCTCCACTCCTCTGCAGTTATAGGTGTTCCCACAGTGAGCGTACACTCCTGTGAGCTCCACGCCTGCCGTCTCGGCGATGGCCAGAGCCAATCTGAGCACCCCGGCTTCTGAGTACAGGACACCAGCTACGGCAGAGAGCAAACAGGAGATCAACAGGCAAACGGGAGATCAACAGGCAAACGGGAGATCAACAGGCAAACGGGAGATCAACAGGCAAACGGGAGATCAACAGGCAAACGGGAGATCAACAGGCAAACGGGAGATCAACAGGCACTTCACTTTCAGCAGCCGATGATGAGCTGTGTCCTGGTTTCCCTGCATGTTTACCTCTCCCGTTGCCACAGTCGAGTTTGAGCCAGACGTGCCACAGCCGACCGTCTTTCAGTGGTCTCTTTTTGAGCTGATCAAGAGCATGAGGATGATCCAGTAGAACTTGGAAGAGATCCAGCCTCTCTGACAGTGCTGCACAGCGCTCCACCTATGAACACACACAGACGTAAATCAGGGGGATTATTTGGAGCATTGTTGGGAGATGAGACCTAAAAAATATAAAAGCTATAAGTAATGATATCAGATTTACGTTAATTACACTGACCGGCATGATGGGCTAGAAAATGAATCAATCACCATTAATGCTTAATGTTCCAGGGCCAAGCTACTGTGCATGCTGGCTCACTGGTACACTTCCATACAACAGAGCTGTCATTAATTAATTAATTAATTACATTAGCCCACATGTGTTTTTGCTGCTGTAATGTCTGTTGTGAAAAAGGAAAGCTATTTCTCAATTTGATACGACATAATACTAGTAAATAAAGTATGTACATATTAAATGTCATACAGTAGAATACTACTGTATATTTGTAGTTAGCGACTTTTTTCAAATAAATAAAGCAAAATGTTATTTCCTACATTTGTCATTAAATCTATTGTTTTCCAGCATCTACATGGAGCTGTTTCACGACCACCTGCAAGTTATTTTATTGAGATACAGCTGTGAGCAGCTCCTCCATCACCTTTGTGCACACACAGTTTGACTCGTCAGAGTAGAAAAAGCAGTAGGAAAAGGCGTAACAGTGTACAGCGACTACCAGGACCCTAAAACTGAATTCAGCAGCTAAATGGAATTAAGCCAACATTCATTTTTACATTTAGACCAGCGCTTTTGCTCCTGTGGCACTGTCAAAGCGTTATATTATATTTTGTCACTTTTCACATTATTCAAAACATTACATTTTCAAAACGCACTAGATATTCAAAACATATATGTAATGGATGAAACTTGTAAGCGTGTGAGTTTGAGTTGAGAGGACCTTATCAAAGGGAAGAGAGTATGCATAGAGGATGTCATCAAATCCGTGGTCGGCATAGAGACAGGCCTCTGCCAGTGTGGAAACCACAATGCACCTCCGTGATCCACCCGTCAAAATGTCAGCACACTCACTAGACGTGAACACAATTACACAGACACAGACCATGTCAATATCCCTTAAAAATCCGTAACATTGCAAAAATAAGGCACATAGTGCAGGCATTTGTAACTTCTAGGATGGACTTGTCAATTTCTTATTATCAGGCAGCTCCAAGAAGTCTGTTAAGACTCTCCAGTTGATCTATAATTCTGTGGCACGTGTACTGACAAGAACTAGGAAAAGAGATGTTTCTCCCATATTAGCTTATCTCCACTGGCTTCCTGTAATAACCATGATAGAATTTTAAACTCTTCTCACCTACAAAGCCCAAAATGGTCAGGCAACACCTCCTCTTAAAAAGCTCTTAGTACACTGCCACCCCACTAGAGCACTACGCTCCCAGCATGCTCTGTTTCTTATGGTTCCTAGTGTCTTCAAAAGTAGCATGAGAGCCAGAGCTTTTAGCTATCAAGCACCTCTCCTGTGAAGCCAGTTCCCAGTTTTAGTACGGGAGGCAGACATCTTCTCCACATTTAAGATCAGGCTTTCTTCTGTGAGATTGCTTATAGTTAGGACTGGCTCCGGCTTGCCTCGGACCATTCTCATCTCACAGGTTGCCATGAATCATAGTTGCGCCTGGATCATTGCTGCTCTTGTTGCCGTGGTTTTGCTTGATGCCCACTGCTACTATTATTGTCATTACTAATCATATTTCTATCATTTCTGTAGTTGTTATTGTTATTATTATTATCACTGTTGCTGTGCATCTCTGTGTCACTTTCTCTCTCAACCCAACCTGTCAAGGCAGATGACCGCCCACCTAGAGCCCAGCTCTATTTGAGGTTTCTTCCCTATTAAAGGGGAATTTTTCCTTGCTACCATCGCCCAAATGCTTGCTCATGGGGGAATGTTGGCTCTCCGTAAATTAAAGAGTATGATCTAGACCTGCTCTACATGAAAAGCGTCATGATGAGATAACTTTAGTTGTGATTTGGTGCTATTTAAATAAATTAACTGTGTGACAGATTTGTATGAATGTATAGAGTGAGTGCGTCTCTCTGTGTCTGTATATTCATACAGGGTTTTGTGCGTCTTCATGTGTGGCCGAAGCTGGACCCCCAAATTCTGACAGCGTTCAATCATCCTCTCTGCATTTCTCTTCACTTTGTCCAGATCCACCACCAGAGCCGGGGTACACAGGGTGGAGAGGGCCTCTCCCTCCATACTGGCAGCACTGGAACAACTAACACACACACACACACACACACACACACACACACACACACACACACACACCCACACCCACACCCACACACACACACAAGGTTCACATACTTCTTGTGCAATTAAATTTTTGTGCATGACTACCTTCAACATATAAATTAGTGACAGTGACACTATTCTTATAAAAACAAACTAATGGTATGCTATATATATATACAGTATATATATATTCTACCAGCACAACAGCACACATAGTCTACGGGTACCCAAATGTGTAATTTTGCAACAGCATTAAGTAATGTAGAGACCTTTGAACTTTGAAATCTGTAGCATGAGATTTTTTTATTTTTTTTTTCAAACAACCTTTACTTTCACTTTTACACTCACGACCTATCGACTTTTTACTAATTCTTCAATACATCTTAACGAATATTAATCGTAGACTATGCATGGAGCTAGACAATTTTATCTCTACGGATGACTTACCGCTTGGCAGTGATTCTTGCAGATACCAGGGCTACATCCCAAGTCTCTTATTTGTCATTTCCTCGCTCCTCGCTCCTCTCTTGAACAGGAAGTTGTTCTGCTCCGCTATATTGACGGCCGTTCCAAAGCTCTTCTTTAGCTCGGAGGAGCGAGGATCGAGGATCGAGGAGGGATCTCCGAGGAGCCATGAGCGAGGGCGCACGAGAACAGACTTCCAAGAAGTCTTTTAACGGCCGACACGCCCCCTCATTGTTCATCAGTTATGTGATTGGACGCTGCAGCCGATCGGACTGACTGACTGAGTTTAACACCAGAGTGAAGACAGATCACAGAACAAACTCTAGTTTATATTTGATTAGGTTTCTGATTCAACATCTGGTTTAAATAAATGTTCATTGTAGTCTGAACAACAAAACGACCACAAACAAATTTCTTCATTTATTAGAATGTTTTGTCTTTTCATGATCTGATATTTCCCTCAATAACCTTTATTATGGAAACAATTAAAGTCAGAGAGAGCTTTTTACATAATTCATCATCATTTCATTCAGTCACGTGAGGCTGATTATTCCTGAGTGTTGGGTTTGATGAGTTATATAATTTACATTTAACCAGAAACATTGAGCCTAATAAATTAATTAGTGTTCAAGAGAAACCATAATACTATTCTGGGTTATTTAATAATTACGTCACAATCAACGTTTCAATACGTACAAATGCAAATAATTCATAAATAAGTCAAACGCATTCCGCCAGATAGAAATTGATTCTGCGTTTATAAACAGAACACAGTTTGTTAAAGAGGTAACAGACTACAGAGAGAAAACACCTCTACAGTGATGATTAATGTGTCTTTATTAGTTATTAGTGACTATTATTAAGTGAAAGGAACTATACCAAGTGTAAACGCTGATCATCATGCAGAATGGATTATTATGTGATAATGTGTTCATCACTAAAATGTTGCATCCAGCAAAGGTGGGGCTAATTTGAATTACTTTATATACTGTTGTTTAGCTTAAACTATGATAATACATCATCATTTATTAGTTTATTTGACATAATATTTTATGTTTTGCATTATTAACCGGAATCTGCAAATTAACTAATAACTGAAACTGTCAAATAAATGTAATACAGTAAAAGTACAACAATTGCCGCCAAAATGTAGTGTAGATCATCAGAATTGTGTAATGAATAACAGTAGTCTGAATACTGCTGAATTGTCTGCTTTGTGTTTCTCTGTACAGCAGAGGGAGCCAGATGCACAAACACCTTGATTTCATGGATCAAAGAGATAATTTCTCTTATGCGATCAAAATAATTTTGGAAAGAAATATTTTTTATCATGGAGTGGACATAAATATCCAAAAGGATGAATTGCATGATGTATGTTGGTGTTATGGACGTTTTCTATCCTTTTTTCATTACTAAAATCAGTGTTCCTACCTGCTAAGGTTACAGTGATTTAATGGAAAATTGCACTTGGATCAAAAACATATAACACATCACACATTATTCTGTTTGCAAAGACAAAAGACAGTGTTGGGGTCACCACATTAGGCTTTATTTGGAATTCATGTATACAGATTAGTTCCTTTATGTTTGTCTGTGAATGCATGTGTAGTTAACTACAGCATATGCACGTGCTTGTTTGAGCGATTATTGTGTGGCTGAGTGTGGTGCATTTATGTGAGATTTTGTTTCCCCTGGAGAAGATAAGTGTACATGTACTTTTTTTTGTTCTAATCCCCTGAACAAATTTAATTAATTACAGCATAACACAATGTAAAAAGGTTTCCAGAACCACTCAAATGGCTTTGTCCTTTATTTCTACTTTAGCACCTTTAATGTAAATACTGACTTTGTGAAGGCAAACTGTGAGAGAGAGAGAGAGAGAGAGAGAGAGAGAGAGAGAGAGAGAGAGAGAGACTGCAAATAAAACTGTTTCGTACACATTCAATAATCACACACCTCTCTTTTGGGATACTTATGAGTGTCTTTGGCTGGAAGTGCTGACCATAGATTTAGAATGAACAGAACGATCAAGTTACAAATGATATTGCATGCCTATGTGTTTGTGTGCTGGTCCTAGGTGGATTGTTTTGGCTTTTGTAAAATAATCTTCACCCATAACAACGGGATATGAAGCCGCCTCGGTGCCTAACATCCAGTAAGGTTAAGGGTCACAGACGTTTGTTGATGGCTCTGCGTGTGTTTACGTGTACGCCGAAGGAGCTGGCCGTTCGCTCATACTATGGGTTCTAATTCTATGGTGCAGAGCGTTACAGTTCTTCACTTAGCATATCCAGCGGACGAAGCGCTCAAAGAACGACGGTTTGTTCAGCATGGCGTAGTCAGCTCCTCTAAAGATGGCCGACATGTCCCCAAGCGACACCTTCCGCAGCACCTCTTCGTCTGTGTCCGTCCCCATGGCGATCACCGTGGGGACGCCTTCAGCTCGCCTCATGGCAGACACGCCCTCCTCCAGCTGCTCGCTCGCGGTGATGCCATCAGTGACGAACACGAAGGCCAGCTCGGCGTTGCGACGAGCCAAGCGATCTCCTTGCTACAAACACAACAGGCAATGTTCAAGGTTAACATTTTACTCCTTTAAGAGTTAAATGAGCATCAATACCGCTCTCTTGTCTGCGCGCTTGAGCTGGAAGGCAAGTCGCCTAGCTTAGCGTAAAGACAGGAAGCAGGACAAAACAGCTAGTAACACCATAAGGTGCAAGGTTCTTTCTGTTTGTGCACATAGGAAACAAATATGAATGAGAACCAGGCCAGCAGTTCTCACGGATTCCAATCTCCAAGCGAATCCACCTCCGTAACGCTACTTGAATGAATAGTTTGACATTCTGGGATATATGCTTATTTGCTCTCTCGCCAAGAGACGAGATGAGAAGATTGATACCGCTCTCATATCTGTACAGTAAATATTTATCTACAGGCAGCGGGCGATTAGCTTAGCTTAGCATACAGAGTGCAAACAAGGACACAGCTAACCTGACTGTGTTCCAAGGTAAAACATAAACAAATTCAAATGTTATATATCACTTTTGTTTCATCTATAATGTAGAAATGACAAATTGTGGTTTTCCGTGGGGTTACACGCCGGACTAATTCTTGGCTGGTGGCAGTGACTTCCTGGGTCCACCAAATCACTGCATCTGCCCAAGGAATAGTCCCACACAAAACCCCTGTAAAACCACAACGTGTTGTTTTTACACTTCAGTTTTTATATATCTGGTTGTCCCAGGCGATTAAACAAATACTATGTGTACTTGTTTACAGTCTTTATGCCAAGCTAAGCTAATCACCTGCTAGCGGTATCTTCATATTTACAGAGACATGAGAGTGGTATTGGTCTTCTCATCTAACTCAAGAAAGCTAGTTACATTTTTTTTTTTAACTATTCCTTTTACATGTTTATGGCACAGACTGGCTGCATGCAAGTGTTTGTTTTTACCTGTGGAATCACCAGATTGTTGACCGCATAGATGATAGCACTGCCCAGGGCGGAAGAGGAGTCCATGTAGGTCACCCCAGCCAGCGAATCAGAGATCACTGTGAGATTGTGTGTGAGCGCAAACTCCACCCGCTGTTCTGTAGGGCTGCCATACTGCAGCAGAGCCAAGCGGGCATTCCTCTCGTCTGACTGGCCGGTGGCCAGGGTGAGGCGGCGAGCCACGTTCTCGATGAACTCTTTGGCCTTTCGGTGGTCCTCCAGTCCCATCCTCTCAGAGCCATCCAACAGGAACACCACATCCACTGGCCGCTGAACACAGCTAGCCACTGCAGGCTCTGGAACAGACACACACACACACATATATAAAGTTTTATATCAGACACGGTGTTCAGTGAGCTACAGCTGGAACACAGATGCGCAGGAGTCAAAGCCAGCAAAACAGAATGCTTTAACATACTGTAGTGTAGGCTTATGTCATCCATGCTAGTTGCAGTCTAGCTGTCTGATTGCATCTAAACCTTCTCATATCAGTAGTGTGGCCTCATCAAGAAAACACTTGTTTTAGTTTGCTCTATGATTTTATTCTCTTGAGATGGCAATATAAAACATGAATACATGTTATACAAAACAACATATTTCACATCAGTAAGTTTCCATCACAGAGCTAACATGATACCATGACATTTGGTTAAAGCCAGTCTTTGTCATCCTACTTTACAAGCCAAGCCACATGCAAAAGAAAAACATGCACCAATCAAGGGCATAACATACAATAGTTCCTTCATTGTCAGTCCATTAACCAAACATCCACATACACCAACTCCTGACTCATATACAGTAAACTGTGTATAAAACCAGATCGTTTCCACATGTCATGGCCTTTTCACCAAGATGACTTATTCACAGAGCACAAGAAAAAAAGTAAAGGCCGTAACCATGGATGTGTGCAAAACAGCAAAAAAAAAAAAAAAGCCATCAGAGTGACTCAGTGAGCTCGTGATTCACAGTGGAAATGAGGCTTCATCAAAGAGCTACTCTTCACTATATGCAGGAGTAACATGAATGGCTCTACAGACCAATCTGCCTCCAACAAATGACATCCGCTTTCCATGAGAATGGAAAAAGTTCCTCCACAAAAGTAGAAGAAATGATATGTATCATATTTCTAACAGACACACTTTTCAGAAAGACAGCTCCATGTACATTGATTCAGAAATATTCTATGAGGAGAGGGACTGTCACATTTTGAATTTTGGCCCATCATATACAGTGACTGTACATGAGGCTGCTCTGAAATGTTAGGACAGGGCCAGCATCATATCATTCAACTCTTTTGCATACAGCCCATATTGCACCACTAGAGTTAGAAAATGCCCACAGTTTTGATAAATTCTATTCTATGTCCAGCAGTAAGCTTATTAGCTATTGGCGACCATAATGGCGAGGTAGCATTTCTAGCATATTAGCATTAGCAGAGTCCTAAGGCTTTCGCTGGGTCTCCCATAATGTCTCCATAGACATATTTGAAGGAGTTGATGAACAGCTGGGTCCACTGCTGCCTGTCCTGTCCTTGGGCAAGTTTGGCTCTCTGGGCTGTGTACGCCATGGTTGCAACGCCAACCCCGTACTGCTGCTCACTCAGGCCGCTCAGCAGGCTGGTCACACCCTCCAAAGAGGTGGGGACCAATGAGGGGCTGCGTTCCTCGGCCATCGGCTTCCAGTGGGGAGGGGCTTGCCCCGCTGTGGTGCCCCCTCCTGAAACAAGTGGGCGGAATAACATCGTGGGCGGAGTCCCACAGACACGACGCATCAACACAGCCAACAGAGATGCCGGAGCTACACCGAGTTGCACTAATTTGCAAAAGTTTGGTCTTGTTTGCTGGCTTTACAGCGACATGAATTCATCGCATCACAGCAAAGGAGGCGAAATGACGTGTAAAAGACACAACTTGTCTAATCCTTAACATAGTTTAAAGGCGTCAGTATGCTTCAAACAAACTAGTAGGTACCAAGCGTTGTCCGGACACATCTGAAGGCCCAAATATTTACTTCTGTTCTGAATGGCCACACCTAAAGGCGAGGCAAAAAGCCTACTGTCATAGAGAGGTGCAGGGCGTGATGACTCATAATAATGGGGATAACAGTACACACTTTCAGACATTCTCTCCTCAAATTCATTCATGGTATTCTACACACGAAAAGTGACGACAGAAGTTGTGTAAAGAAAAAAAACAGAAAAAATTGTCAGTTTCGGAAAGATACAAAATGTTGACATTTTGACAAGCACTTCATTTCAAGCATGTTGACGCCTTAATAATGCTGGTTACTCTGGCCTAAATGCTGAAAATCTTTGAAGATGAGACACTAAGTGATACACAATAATCTAAAATCTTACCTGATTTACAAGGGAGATCAGGGCATATGACGATGGGATCTAAAGCCAAGATAAAGACAGAATATTAGAAAAAAAGTACAGAGCGAAACAGCTTTATAATCCGCTAGATGAACGTACTGTACATCATGTTTCCTTCCACAATGAGTGTACCTGGGCAGAGCACGGCTTCAATCTTGTCGATGAACTCCTCCGCCACCAGGTCTGCAAAGCGCTTCATACCCAGCACCCTACCATCCTTCTGGCAGGCGATGCTCTTCAGACTCTCGTTCTCCTCAATCTGGTCGAACATGTCTCCGATACCAATAGCACTCACGTCGACGCCGGGATGACTGCTCATACAAACACAAGCATTGAGATAGATAATTTTTCATCTACACAAATGCTAATTCTAAATGACCAAATACAGCCCCAGTGCCAGGCACCTGCAGAGGTAGGTGAGCAGTGAGTCGTCATCTCTGGGGTCGAAGCGTCCGTCTGTGATGACAACTACAGTGACGTTGGCTTTGGCCCTGCGGCTGTCCCTGATCAGGTTGTCCCAGGCGTACTTGAGAGCGGATGGAGTCCATGTTCCTCCGGCGATCCACTCCAAGCGCTTCACTGCATCCTGAATAGTGGAGAAGTGAGAATGTGAGAGATGTGTACGTACAGTGATGTGACATCACTACTGGGTGCGGACACAGAGGCAAAGCTTCCATCATTAGTTACACTATGTAAACATGATGGAATACCATTTTGAAGACATGGTCCCAGTTCGGACTGCGCTTAAGTAAAATCAGCATATAGTTCAGTACTAGCATGTATCAGGAGCTATCTGGAAATTGACAGCTAACAATAAATATCTCTAATAGAATTGTGATCCATTTATTTGCTTTTCATAGGGAATCTATAATTAGTGTTTGTATGCTATGTCCAGCAGGAATTGCATTAGTCACTAGTATCCAATAAAGACACAAATGATAAGGTAGAATGGTTAGCGTGTTAGCAATAGCATAGTTCTAGCTTCAAGGCTAGCTGTTCGTGCTTCCAGGTAGAGTTTCCCTTTTTTGAATGTTCAAAATGGCCGCCTTGTGGTATGAGTCAGGTCAATAAACCCAGGAAAATCGGCTCAAAATACAGTGTTAGCAGAAAAAGGTAAATACTATATCTGACAAAATTCAAATGATAGAAATTTTACTACTCTAACACATTTTCTGAAACTACTGGACACTATAGTTTTCAGCAAATGTATCTCAAACAGGAGTGAATACTGCATTTGATGGGGACTATTTTCAGCTGCGGATGAATACACATTTGGCACTATATGGACTTTTTGAGGCAGCAGGACCGATGTATGATTGACTTAAAAGAAATAACAGTGCCCATGTTCATGATCATGAAGGAACATGTCACCCAGTAAAATAGTTTGACTCAGTGATGTGTTTTAGATGTTTTTTAGATAACAATAAAGGTTGATGCCACAGAGGAATGAGCTTTATTCGGATTTGACTATACTAGCAAGACTTTTTAGTATTGTCAATTTATTGTTGGTCTTAGTCTTTTCACAGGATTTTTGACAATGTCAAAAAATATATCACCAATCCTATTATTTAAGGTGGGTCTACCATCTATTGCATTCCAGATTATATGTATTGGTAAATGTGAGAAATACAGAGAGGGACATAACTGTGATGACTCTCACATGTGTGCAGACAGCACATCTGATCTGACAGTACATCCGCCCCGAGTAATTAAGACACATCTGGACAACAAATGCAAAAGAACAGTCTGTGCTACACCCCAAAAATAAACTTCAAAGCAGTCTGCACATGTGTTTGTGTTTGACACCTTGAAAGCAGACAGTGAATCAATCTTGGGGTCGTCGAGTCGGATGGCCTGGAAGGTTCCACTGTGACTGTACTGAACAACTCCCACTCTTGTGCCTGGGAAAACATACAACTATGTTGACACCAAGTTGGCAGCCATCTTATGAAGTTTTTTTTGTCAATGCACAAATCCTGAAGTCATTTAAGAACCACATGAGAGTGAACAAATGCATGTCTACCTGTGTCTGACTTGGGGTCTTTGGCAAGGGATCCCAATCTGTTGATGGTGTTGATGACAAAGTTCTTCTCCAGGGTGAAATTGGTCAGACCCACTGACTCTGAGCTGTCGATCACGAACACAATATCCAGGGCTCCGCAGCGTTTCTCACAGTCTGCAGACAAATCCCCAAACTGTGATAACCGGACAGCTTATCAGAGCATGTTCAGATCAGGAACAGAAACACAGCAGCTAAACTCACCACAGCAGCCACACGTTTCCCTGATGTAGTTCATAACATCACATTCCTGCAGGAAGAAACATTATATCATTATATCCAGCATGTATTTCTCTAGACGCACAAGTGATAAAAGAGTGGTTTGATGAAATGTTCTTACAGTAAGGCCGGGATCTCCCTCAGGGCCAGGATCTCCCTGTAGAGAAAGAGAACACATTCAGTTACAGTTTGGGATTGCTAGCGGATAACGCTAATCTGTAACAAGTAAACATTTGAAAACATCAGCTTAGGTTGGCATTTCCTAGCTGGATGCAACGCCCTATATTGGTGAGTTGAAAGGCCCCTGTATGTGGGTTTATCTGGTTTACAGTGCGCTTTATGTATACTTACACCACGCCCACCATCTCCTCTTGACCCTCTTAGGCCTGGCTCACCCGGAGATCCTGGCTCACCCTGTTGTGAGGAGAAAAATTAGCATTGTGTAGTTGCCCTTTTCACTCCAGTAACAAAATACATCCAACTACAATGAGTTACTCACTTCCTCTCCCGGAGTTCCTTTATTTCCTGGGTCACCCTTTTGACCACAGTCTCCTCTGCTGCCACGAGGCCCACGATTGCCGTTCACTCCTCTCTCACCCTGTACAGCAGTGGAGGAACGCTTTGTCAGCCGAGTGTGTCACTCCGGCAAGCAAATGTACTGAGACGAAGTGCATGTGTACGTTACCGTTGGTCCTCTTGACCCAGGGTAGCTGAAGCCAGGTCTTCCAAGGTCTCCCTGAATAGAAACAAAACAAACAGTCAAGACAAACTACAGCTGAAAACAGTCAGAGCAAGACGCTAACACACTTACACATACACAGAGACGCATACCTTTGGTCCAATCTGTCCAGGTTCTCCTCGAGATCCAACATCACCAGGGTCACCTCTGGTACCCTATGGTACAAACCGTGTTAATGTAAAGTAGATGAAGTATCTTTTTCACATGATGCCAAATTGAGACCCGTAACCTACATTTTTCCCAGCCTCTCCTGATGTCCCCGGTGGTCCCCTGGGGCCTGGCAGGCCATTATCTCCCTGTTCAGAGAGAAAGTTGATGACAGGTGCAACAATAGTGGACAGATTAAAGAGTTGTGTACGGTGTTCATATGAACATATAGAAATTATACAGATAACATGGCTCTTCTAACCTTTGTTCCTTTGTTTCCTGATTCACCTGCAAGTCCTCTCAAGCCCTCGGGACCCATTTCACCCTGAAACATAAAATCTGCATTGAGCTCCCAAGTGGTGGAGTATTGTATCTCAATGAAAGAAATTATTTGAGCCAATGCAAAAAGTTCATAATATGTTTCACAAATATTTCACACATGCGCAGTTGTTTACGAAAAAATGTACCTTGTCTCCCTTGATGCCATCTGACCCTTGACCACCCTTTGGCCCATAGTCTCCTCTTCTCCCCTAGAACGCAAGAACAATGACAAAATCAATGCATGACCAATGCAGGCTAACGATAAAGTGGAGCATGATGAAGGTGAATCAGAAGTTCTTACAGGCTCTCCTCTGAGTCCCGTAATTCCAGGGGTTCCCTAAGAAAAACAACACACAGGTGAGCTACATGAAGCTATATGTGCGTCAATGCATTTCTGTCTGTCTGTGATGAGCCTTACAAGGTTTCCTTTAGGTCCAGGGATGCCAGGTGATCCAGAACTTCCTGTCTCTCCCTGCGGACAAAGCACCAGAGTTTAACGTTTCACCTCCAGCATTCCTCAAACCTATGTAACATGACCTCAGATCTAATATCTGTCCCAGCAAAGAGCAGTGATCCCTGTCCCTGTGTTGCGATTTTACCTTTGGTCCAGCCTCTCCAGATGGGCCGGAGGGTCCAGTTCTTCCAGAGCGACCGGGATCTCCCTGAAAACAGGACACAATCATATGCTCACAGTCAAGCAGAGTTTAGCCAGAGGTTGGATGGCTGATGGATTTTGTTTCAAGTGAAGACCATGTACCTTATCTCCTTCAGTTCCACCAAAACCGCGTTCACCGACGTCACCGGGGTGACCATCAGGACCCTATGAGGCATCAAACACACACCATAAATAGGCCATAACGCAATACAATATGGATGTATTGATCATTCAAAATTGTGTTGAATGTCATACTCGGTCGCCTGGGTCTCCTTTGCAGCCGGGAGCTCCGATGCGTCCAATTTTACCCTGGGAAGAAGAAGACAGTGGCATTTCAAAACTAGAGCTTCACTTCAAAATCATTCAACCACTATTTTAAACTTTCAGAATAGAATCAGTGTTAGTAAGTCAGTAATGATTATAAGTGGTGTTGTGTCCCCTAAAATGGACAACGAAACTTCCTCCTTAAGTTAAGCAGCAGCTACCTTCTGTCCATCTGTCCCATTGCGTCCCGAGACACCAGCCACGCCCTAATAATGAAGAGAGGAAACAATTAGAGAAGAAAGACCATACCATAACAAAATGTATGATAATTAATAGATTCGGTTAAATAGTAAATCATAAATGGAAAAAAAATCCTACCTTTTTCCCCTGAGTTCCCAATTCTCCCTGTGCGCGGACAGAAAAGCAGCGGTCATTTTACATACGATCGTTTTGTGCTTATTTATTAACAGATTATGAGCTGTAATTTGACTAGAATTTATAATCATTCACCTACAAAGCCAGTAATTTATTTAAAGACTTAAGTTATGCATTGATGAACTCGATCCACACAAAAGAGAAGCGCATGCCTCACCTTGTCGCCGAAAAGACCTGTTTCTCCCTACAGAGAGGAGGAAGAAAAAATAAAATGTGTTTTTTTACAATACAGACACAAACCAACTTCATCATATGTAAGCGAATAGTGAACGACGGGTAGGTGGATGTTGAATGTCTTACTTTGGAACCGGGCTGACCGATGGGACCTTCGATACCGGGGTCACCTGGGCGACCTATGTCTCCTTTAAGACCGGGGTCGCCGTTGTCTCCTTTGGCTCCCTGCAGTCAAGGAATTCAAAGGAGAAAACGTGTGAAGAATAAAGTGACTCGTGTGTGAATCCCGTAAGTGTGAGTGTGTGTGGAAGCTCACTTTTTGTCCTCTGGGGCCTTTTGGACCATCAATCCCTGTTGTCTCCAGACAGGTCACTTTGTAACACTGCGTCACACAGGAAATGAAGACGAACAGTCAGTGTTGATGCACTCTGAAACATGAATCTTTATGATCATTAGATGTGTGAGCATTCTCACCTCTACGAACGCCAGATGTTTCTGTGAAGACAAAAGGAATAAGGTGTGAGCAGAAGACGCATGGATCGTGTCTCGTGTTTCTCTGTGTGTCTCTGTGGGTGTCTTTGTGTGTTACCATTGTCTTGATGATGCTGTCAATGGTGTCCGTATGTATGACAGGTCTGCCTTGGCTCAGATCCACAGCCATGTATTCCTTCCTGTAGACGGATGCAGGAGAGTTGGCGATCTCCTTCATCCCCGTCTCTTCCACGTTCTTGGATGCCGCAACGGCAAATATGTGGATGAGATTATCGCGAGCTCTCTCTGCTGCCTCTTTGATGCCCCCGCACGGTGTTCCGGTTACGTGGCCGTCAGTGATGACCACAGCGAATCGGAGGGCGTTGGGGGATGTGGGTGAGGTCAGCATTTGCTGCGTCATGTTGCCGAGGGCGCAGTCGATGTAGGTGCCATCACCCAGGTATTCGATTTTCCTGAGTTCCTGGAAACAGCGTGAAACGAGTGAGACTTGTCGAGGCTGGATTATAAGCAGGCAACCGTGCAGGAACCCAAGACCCTCAGGGCCTCTGAAGATATCAGGTCACAGTGATTTAGTCACCCAAAGCAGATTTACCCAGTCTTGATCTTCATTGGCTTAATAAGGGAAACTAGTAAAAAAAAACGAGTAAACTAGAAAAAAAAAAAACCTGAAGACGCCAACTCTGCACATATTTGGATCTGCAGTCCTGAATGTTTTCCCAAAAGCCCTTAATCCTTTAGGTACATATAACATCAAATGTAGCAGATTTGTCAGACAAACATTCATTCTGTGACCTCTACTCCAGCGTAGTATAAAACCCTGTTATGTAACTTCCTCAACATTTATTGAGTTGTGGTTGTGTTGTGGTTTCAGAATGATGAAGACAGTTTGAGAACAATTAGATACAAAATGATGTAGGTTCTACAGAATGATATTTCTTTTCCTTTGGCAACTATCATGCTTTTCCAAATTGACATATGAATATTAGGACAAGATAAGGTAAAATAAGATGATCCTTTATTAGTCCCGCAGTGGGGAAATTTACAGGATTACAGCAGCATAGTAGATAGTGCAAACAAGAGACATAATTAAAAAAACAAGATCAAAACAAGTATTATAAATATGTAAATAAGTAATAAAACAGTAAAGAATATTAAATAAGTAAAAAAGTAAAAAATCCATAATAACTAAAATGTTATACAGAATAATTGTTGTGTTGCAATATTATATATGCAGACAGAATAATTGTAGTATTGCACAGTGTATTTATATTGCACAGATCTTTTGTGTTGTGTGGTCTACTCAAAAAATCTGTAATCTATTATCTCTAATGGCTTGAAAAGTAGTGTACATAGCTGCCATAAATGTAATAAAACCGAATTTTTGCAAAGTCGGGCTCCGCCCCTGTGTGTAGGCATGTATGTGTGTGTTGCCGTGTGTGTGTCACTCACAGTGATGAAATCGTTCTTGGGTGCGATGGGACTGAACACCTTCGATTTCCGGGAGAAGTGCAGTCCACCGGTCCTCCAGTTGACCCGCACAACACCATTTATTTCAGCATCATCCAACCGCTGTGCAAACTGCTCAACGAATTTCTACAACAACAAAAGGCACAACACATTATATAGCATACAGCCCACTTGGTTGATGGTCATTTAAGGATGATGACACTAAAAAAGAGGGATATCTTGTGTCATGGCTTAATTGAAAAGTATGCAGATAAACAAAGAACCTTGATGCTATCCACCAGCGCTCCAGGCGGCGGCTCCTGCAGGGCAATGGTCTCAGATGTGTCGATGGTGAAGTACACGTCTATGGGACATTCATTTTTCTCTGGAGGGAACGCAAAAAAACACACGTAAAGCCTCCGTGGAAAATTGCAATGCACTCAAATAAGCAAGATGAAAAGTTCCATGGCATGTCATTAAAACTGTGTCAACATATTAACATGACAACAAAGGGTTCAGTTTCATGGCACTCACTGCTGCACTCTGTTTGCTGGCCGTGAGTCAGGGATCCCAAAAGAAGACAGAGCGCGATGACCTCTAACCCCAGCATCTTCCTCTTGTCCTGTCTGACGCATAAAGACACAAGACAACACACAACTAAGCAAACAATCTGTTTGATTTCTCACTCTATCCCTCAAAAAACAACAACTAAATAAAAATAAAAGTCATGGAAAAGACAAAAAATGCAGGACAAACACTGAATTGCAGAAATGGAAAGACATTTATGTGACTAACTTAAAGCCAAAATCAAGAAATAAGTTGTAATTGTGAAGCTGGTTATTTTTGCTGGCTGTAGTCTAATATTACTGAATTTTCTTATCATTCCACATACTGAATGATTGTTGTCACATAGTGAGTAGTAGTAGTTGATTGCAAAGTAATTTGCAAAATCTAGATTCTGCATCTGGTATCAGTTTAAGCTAATTGTACATGGAACAGTCCGCTCACGGTTGCACAGGGAACAAAATGGCCGCCACAGAGCTATGAAACAGGTTTGAAAGGATCAGGGGGTTGAACATGGCTCTTCTCTCTTGTGTTAAATGGTGGAAATGGAGACGACAGAAGTTGGAAGAAGTGATAGATCTCAATTTAGGCTGACATTTGCCTTGTTGTGGATTATTCACGCAGAAACCTGAACAGGCCTTAATATGCTGCCAAACGTCAGCCGTAACCAATGGGAGTTCAATCAGATCCAATATACACAGGCCTAAGCACTTGAAGAACTCACTGTTTCCCCAAATGAATCCCGTAAATTCAAGGATAAAAATTACAGTAATTATACTAACTAAACATAGCACCTCCTCCTCTCAAGTCAAGGAAAATTTTAACAGACATGACATTGAGTGATGACACAAAATTAATAGACTTTGGATGCATTTGGCAGCAGTGAGCAGGCTGCTGATTGACTATAGTCAGACTCACATTTAGTTTTTAAACCACAAGATTTCACAAGGCCTCAGTCTGCTGCCCTCCAGAGGCGTTCCCTTCCCTTACAGCCAACTTTTGTTCGCCAGCTGTAGATGGATTAACCCGCACATTGCTCCTTATTTGTGATTTGGCTAAACATAAATTTATATAGGGATATCCATTATGTAAATTCTGACAAGACAGGTAATCGTGCAGGACCTGTCTTAATGGCCTTGTTATCCCAAGAATGCATATTCTAAAACAAATTATTAATCAGATTACCACAAACAACTAACACACACACACATACACACTTGATATGAGGCCTTCAGGGCCCCTGCGGGTCAGGGCCTGGGACAGTGCAAACTCTGTCTGATTAATAATCCAGCCCTGCTGGCTATGTCAACAAAGCCTTCGATCAAGTGTCTTTCCATCCCATCAACTCCAAAAATCTCCACCAGATCTGAACCAGCAAGTGTCCACCACTGGACCTGCCAACTGATGTACACTGCGACATAGCCTACTGTATATTTACACTGTAAAATAAGAGAATCCTCTCCCTCTTGAGAAAAAAAACTGTTTATGATGTAGTTTTCAATTTTCAACATAAGGCCAGCGATTTGCCTTAAAATTATAATTTTTTTGAAAAGACAATTCTCAAAAATGTAATGTGATTTGAAGTAAAATAACCTCACACCTGCTGGCAGCTTTTAAAAAAAATCCATTTACAATACTTTCAGACACCATTCCAGGCCTTCTTTAAAAAATTCAAAGTGCACAGCACAGACTAGTCAGCCACGCGCTTTGCTGTGGCTCCCTCTGGCGGACTGACAGCTGTGAGCTGCGGAGAAGTCGCTACTGCAGATGTTCCCACTCCTTTCCCACTGTCCTGGCCAGGGGAATGAGTGTGAGTCCCCGACAGCCTTTCACCACTGCACAGGTAAATACCATGCAAAAGAAAACATGCAGAGATAACAGCACAACTGAGAGAGCCCATGTTCTAGTTGTGTTGTTGTCATGGGCAATTTGTTTATGGGTTTTGAAGGACTCAAAGTTTATTCTCGCAGCAGTTTGGTTTGCTGAGAAAAAAAACCTAATTTCTGTTGATGAGAGTAAGTTTGAAGACATGCAAAGAGACAGAGAGCGAGAGACACAGAGAGACAGAGAGACAGAGGCAAAGACAGGCAGAACATCACAAGGGGAATAAAGGAGATAGAAGGAGGGAGAGAGAGATTGGCACATTGCTGTGTGTAAAAGTGCTGCTTACCCGAACTTTTTCGAACAACTTCAAAACGTAATGAGCTTCTGATCCTCTGTTGATTAACTCCTCATCTCAGCAGGAGGGAAATACGAGAAAAAAAAGAGAGATACGGGAGGTAGAAAATTGGAAATAAAGCCCTGGATGCGCGTTTACTTCGCAGAAGAGCCGTCCGTTCGCTCTCCTGTCCCGGTTCAGCCCCAGAAGCAGGCTCTGATCCCTCCTCCTGTACGCGCACGACGCACCCCAGTGCCCACTGCTGACCGCTTGGAGGCGCTATGGCTCCGCAGGAACCCGTATGAGCGCGCGCGTGCATGTACCCCCAGTATCACTGCCATGAACCAGTAAAAGAGGATGCCAAAGCGCAGATGGGGTTTTGAACAGATTGCCAATTATGGACGATGCCTCAAACTGCTCAAACAGATTGTAATGTGGCAGTAATTATCGGGAGATATGACAACTTAACTGATGCCCTCAGCAGAACACATGGGGAACCCTGGGACACTGAGCTTTAATGTCCCTGAGATAGAACATTTAGGAGGTTTCCATGGTTAATGTCGCATGTGGTGAGTCAGTTTGAAATAGAACAGGATAAAGAGTAGACTTAACCCCCCCATACTCATAAACACACACACACACACATGCACACAAATGGACCTTGCTTGTGTCTGGTGGTCTGGTTGCAATTAGAAGGCAGAGTAAGAGGAGTTTATACTTGATGTAAACACTAACAGATTGTCCATGAGTCTGCTCACCATGTTTATACACATGTAGGTGCTTCAGCTGCCGGTTTGCAGGCCTATGTGTTGGTGGACACAGTGTGTGGTCTCCCTGTTAGAGCATATGCCATGTATGTACACATATCGGCATGGACACTCACATCTGCCCTCTGTGAAGGTAATGCATATTTTTTCATCATTCCATAGTCGCTGATCACATATTGGCTGCAGAAACACTTGCGTGTATCAGAGTGTTCAATTTGCTTGAAAGCTCTGATGTGGCCTGCACAGCTGCCGACGCATTAACCAGTAACACTGCCACTAATGTGTTATCCAGGCCAGGAGGTGATGTCGGGAACATGCCTCTACATCCAAGTCCACATCCGTTACATGGGAGGCTATCAGTTTCAAGAGAATACAGGGTCATTTGAGTGAACTGAGTATGGCAGGTTGTGATGTGAATGACTGGAGACTGGAATCCATGTCTTTGAGAATATCACATCTAAGGGACATTTGATAAAAGTGGGATCAGTCATGAGAAATTGCTGCTGGTGTACTTGCAGAAACATGATGTATTTATACACACAAATTTTGACTTTTTAGTCCCTCGTGCTTTTTAATTGGACTTCAGCCGAAGGTATAGTGGGCTGTGATCAAGAGGTGGTCGGAGTTGAGACAGCAGTCAGCATTTTGCTAAGTGCAGAGAAAAGCAGAGGAGGAGACGGCAGCGTTATTACTCTCTGAAGCTGTTCTCTCGTCTTGGCCTGGGAAGAGATTTTCCTTAAAAAGAGAGGAAGAGAGGAGTGGAGCAGTATGTTTGTGTGTGAGTGTGAGTGTGTGTATGTGTGTGCGTGTGATGGGGGGGGCTAACAACTCCCAGCTGCCTTGTCTGTGTGTGTGTGTGTGTGTGTGTGTGTGTGTGTGTGTG